TCGTAGCACCACTCCCCTAAAAATTCCTGGGGAGACCCCTGGGATGCAGAACAGCTATCATAATAACAATAAATAATTAACAAGTGGATGCAGAACTGCAAATCATAATAACAAAAGTAAATAACAAAGTGGATGCAGAACAGCAATCATTATAACAATAAATAAATAACAAGTGGATGCAGAACTGCAAATCATAATAATAACAATAAGTAATTAACAAATTAGATGCCACCTGATAATAATTTTAAAACCCAAACTTCACTAAGAAAATACTAACGTCTATTTACAACAGTATGAGTTTAATTACTTACCTACAAATTCATTTAATCTGAGACTTGGTTTAAGAATGCTTACCACCAGTACTGTAAAGGCCTAGTTCTGTCAATTTTAGAATGAATCCACTTGGTGATTTGTGTGTTGAAATTTGAAGGTGTAGTCGATTTCATATGTGGTGGGAAGGAGTTGTATGATTTGGAACATCTGTATAAGAAAGTACGTGTTAATGTGGTTGTCTTAGGCTTAGGTAATCTGAAACCGCCACCATTTGCAAAACGAGTAATGTGGTCATGAGTGCTGTTGACATAAATCTTGGGGATTTATGGGCATGAAAAATACACTTTGAATGAAAAAACATATTAAAGTAGGCCACTCCAATTTAATTTTATGGATGACATCTGTGCGCGCATTAATTTTCACCTGTTCTCAAAAAAACAAACATGTCCTCCGAAGCTCTGGCTTGGCTGTAGGCCTGGGTAGTCCATGGTAGTGAGTGACAGATACGTAGGTGGTGCCTCTGAAGGATGGCACCCAGGCTACCGAAGTTCCATGGTTCAAGAACTGAGTACATACGTACTGTGCCGATTCATAAATTCCAGAAAAAGCCAGTATGTGCCGGCTTGTCGTGAACGTTGCTATGTACTGCCGCAAATTCACAACACTAGCTTTGTATTCCTATGGTTTAGTAGCATTTTTATTTTTGGCCAGAGTTTTTTTTTTCGCCTGCGCGCACTAGTTTGGGGGTCTTCAGAGGACGTCATCCATATCAAAATTAACTCAGTGTGGCCTTATTAACCTCAAGTTGGGCCCATAGTGAGGTGGCATGATATTGAGTCATTTTTTTTTAATAGAAAACTTGTGTTTGCTGTACTTACCTGTATGTTACATTGTTAGGTTGATGAAGATTAGACATCCTGGTAATGATGACAAAGGTACATTTTTTAAACATTCAAAGGTAACACTTTTGGATGTTTCATGAAGAAATCATACCTAGAACACATGCAGGTTTTTGCATATCACACAATTCACAAGGTAGTGTTAGGTAGTGTACAGAAAGTACAATGTGTGCATAGTGAGATCCTGACTGTATGTGATGTGTGTTTGTACAGGAGTTTGCATGCAATGGTACAGTTGTGGAGCATCCTGAATACGGTGAAGTGATCCAGCTCCAGGGAGACCAGCGCAACAAAGTGTGTGACCTTCTCGTCAACTGGAAGCTGGCAACAGCCGGCAACCTCAAGGTCCACGGGTTCTAGAGCAGCACGTCGCCCCTCCGCGCTGGTGTTCATGGTCTTGAGTGACCAGGCACAGTTTTACACTTAGAGCTTTAGAGTTTAGGGCAGGAGAAGCAGTCTAGCATGACGTTATAAACTTAGCCAGCAGACTCTCACATGTATTGGATCTGAACCAACAATTCAATGGTTTTACAGCAGCAAGGAAGTTAGCCAGAGCTGGAGGGATGGAAGGGGTGACATGAAGGGAGAAATGCATCGTGTAGAAAGGTAGCATCATGACTTAACCATAATTTGTTGGCTAGCCACAGTCCAGTGGTTTGAATCTGGTAGAGAAAGTACAGTAGCTTGGTAAATACTGCCTGGACAGAATTAGCTCTTGTCCATATGTGCAAACCTGATGTATGTTGTAATCAGTACATGTAGACAAGGGCTGCGTATGTTGAGATAATGTTTATCAAGTTAGTGAGTGTCTGATACATTTGGAACGGTAACTTATAAATGTAAGTATCAGTGTTAATCTTCCCGCAATTTATTTCCACCTGTTGTTTTGCTGTGTACTAATTTCCTGCATTGTATGAATAAATTTCACACCAAATGTCTGTTTCATTCTTTGTTGTAGTAAAAGTGAAGGAATAAAACATGGCAAGGTATTTATTTATTTAATCTCAAGAAGGCTGGGTAGCCCATTCAGCTTGAATTTAAAATGTGATGTTTTATCATTAAATGCTCTAGGTGGTAAACCATATGGACGAAAATTTAAGGGATCTGTGAATAGTTTCATCTGTTAGTAAGTCTCTTTTTACACAACCAGGTGTTTTATTCACAGCTGGCATTTCGGTGACCGTCTGTCCTTAAGGCAATTCTGATTGGCTCACATTGCACTGCAGCACGGGTGTCACTGCTATAGATGCATTGTACATTTGAGAATGCATCTATAGCAGTAACACCTGTGCTGCAGTGCAATGTGAGCCAATCAGAATTGCCCTGAGGAAGGTGATGGTCTTCGAAACGTCGGCTGTGAATAAAACACCTGGTTGTGTCCTTTTACTCAAAATTTAAGGGATTTTACCTCAGAGTCTGTGAAGTAGGAAGTGTGAAAAAAGTGAATGAAAAGGTAGATGTATTTGTGGTTATAAAAACTATGACAATGGAAACGTCCTACATACCAGCCTAAGGCAAGGTCACAAAATTAGTTTCATGTACTCTCCAAGTAAAAGTTTGTTTTAGGCATTTTTAAAGGGCTTTCTTTCTTGTATGCTAGTCATCATAGGAAATTATAGTATAGAAAATGAGTGCAAACCTCTGCATTGAGAGTGACATTCAGGACATTACATCTAGTAATAAGTAAATGAAAACTAAAGAATAAATAATGTCGTCCTTCGACAATCTTAAGTTCCATTTCATGATGTGAGAGTGAAAAAAAAATATATCTTCAAAAAAACGTCGACAAGATTCAAGAACTGAATGGAGTAACAATCACTTTATTTTTATTCTAGTACGGTAAGAAAGAAAGAAAACACACATGTAGTATCAGGGGAGACCAATTTTAATGCACAGGTGAATGTCATCCACAAGATAAACATTGTGTGGCCCAAAATGACACCAAAAATCTAGGTAAATGTAAGCAAGTATCTTTCCTAAAATATAAGGCACTGGTCTCCCTATGGTAATTTTATATAAGGCACAAATGGATATACAACTTACATGTTAAGGATGTATCATAGATATGCACTCTGATATATGGCACAAACCATCAGTCAAACTGATTCAAACACTTTTGAGAAATCAATCACTTTACAAAAATAGATTATTTCTCTATTTCTAGATTTTCTTCTCTATCCTTTCATGTAAACAGGTACAGTATGTTGCACATGTTACAGAAAATTCACTCATTCAGCCACATTAATTTGTTGGTTCTTGGATTCGCCTCTTCAGTTTTTAATGATTTGCAAAAAAACAAGAAAGATTCTTGATCTGAATCAACTAAAAATGCTCATATTTTGCCCCCAACCTGTTTTTATTTGAATTTTTTTCGACCCGTCGTTTCATATTTTTTCTGAAAAGAAAAAATCAGAAAACCAACAAATTAAATTGGTGTGGCCTTTAACACATTTAATTATTACTAGTACCTCTCAGAAAAGTCTGTAAAAATCATCTGAATCACATTGAGATCTCTACATAAAGAATTACACTTAGCTTTAGAATTATAAATTCTGTCAAGTACATGTACAGTAATAAACAATCTTTTTATGTACATACATGACAATGACATAAGCAATTTGTCAATACAGCTATCAATAGAATTTCATAATTAAATATTTTCACCTACTGCAGCAAATTACAATATTATTATTCAAACAAATTTCATTTTATTTTACTGTTGATCACACTATGACCTCATTTTGCAAACAGTTCATTTCATGCAAGCCCAAGTATCACTTGTAACAACTATCTTCCAATCCCAAAATTCTGATATCTCTTGAGCTGTGCATGTATGTTTTTTGCCAATAGATACTAAATCATCTTGAAAAATAAACTATCACAAACAAAATAGTGGAGAAATTCTCTCAACTTGCACCATGGTTTATTTCTGGAAAATTCAAAGTTTGCTATTAAAAGTTGCTCATTTTTCTGGCTGTATTTCTTTACAAGTGAACAATGGCCATGGGTGACATATACATATATATAATCTTATAATATATTGCAGTGCATGTGCAATAATTGTGTTCTATTAGCAGCATAATTGTCAGACACATATACAAAATTGTAGGTAAACTGATCATTTCAACCTTTGATACACAGAATTAAATCTTGCACTTCTTCACAGTTTTTTGAACATACAACACTGACATGTGATATGCATGTATGTACATCTAAGCTCTCCAAATACAATCCTAGCTACCTGACACTTTTTTCTAGTTTTGTATAATGCTGATGGTACCATGAGGACGATAAAAAAACAATTGTGACCATCTGATATATAGTATTTATAACTAGCAACTGCCAGCCAATGTGTTTTTAAACCAGGTTTAAACCGATTATGATTGAAAGGATCATACGAAATGTTTTTTTATAGTTTCAATAATAGTTTCTTGCTGGTAATACACTAACAGAACAGTTACAGTTCATGCAAAAGCAATAGCATAATTTGTTTACTGCACAATTCCTGATGTACTAGCTCCTCACTACATAAAAAGCGGGGTGGTAGGCAGCAGTGGTGACACACATTCTGTTTCAGGTTATAAGACCACATGATACCAATAAACACTGAAATACAACAGTTCCTAAAATAGTCAAACATGATAGGTATTATTCAATGAACAAAGATGTTTGGACGAAAAAATTAATACATTCTTCTGATGTCAGGCCACACCAAGTTAATTTTTTGTTTGTTGTATTCACCCTGTCCATTTTTTTCTGATTTGCAAAAAAATAAATAAAAAGTTGTTAGGTTCTAAATCAACTGCAAAATGCTCCATGAAAGACATATTTTGGCCCCAACAGTTGAAGAAAGTCTTTTTCTTTCTAGTTGTTAAAGTTTTTCAATGTAACAATGCAACTTTGTTTCATTAAAAGTTCAAAATCTATTGTTTTAATTATAAACCAGCCTGGTATGTTCACTTCATTGCTCATATTGTAACATTTCCGGCTATCATTGGGTGCCTTGCCCTGTTTTTTTTTCGCCCTGACGCTTCATATTTTTTCTGAATAATTCCGAGAAGCAGCAAATTAAATTGGTGAGGCCTTACAATTTTGCAAATTTTCCAGTTCTTGATATCTGCTGCCTGATGGCACCTGGTACTGAAAAGGCTGTCATGCTCACTGTGACGTCATTGGTAGAACATAATTGGATCAACAGGTGGCAAAAATCAAGAAGTCGAAGGATGATTTGCAAAATTCGATGAACCTTAACATCATCAAGAGCATATTTTTTGTCAAAAACATCTTTGTTCATGGAACGATCTAGGCGGGATGCCCTAGTCAGGGTTTTGCCCAGTATCATATAGAATAGAATAGAACGATACCAAAGTCAATATCACATGTTTGACTATTTTCAGAAACTGCTGTATTTTAGTGATTTTGGTGCAATATTGCAAAGGCAGCACAATGGCATTGTGACTGGTTTAGTCTGAAAAAATCTATCCTGAGATAAACTTACTTTCCTGAAAGAATATGACTTCAGCTATGAGCCTGACCTTGTTTTCTATAACTCTCAATTTGTTTTGAAAAATCTACTTTCTGACAGAGGTTAAGTGTAAAATTTGGCATTTTCAGAAGGGTAGCTATTCATAATTTCACTGTAGATTTTGTTGGAATGTTAATTAAGAAATTACCTTTTTATACATTTTCATCAAAAATATCAAGTTGAACATCTCATAACCTGAATGCACATACTGTACATGGTTAAACTCACTCTCTCTCCTCTCTCAGAACGGTCCAAAAGCAGTTAAGGGCACCTCACTCTCAATGCAGAAAAATATTTAAGGCCAACTTGAATTTGTATAAAAATAAAAAGTTTGATTTCATTATAAAACACAGGACTTCAGTGTCCCATGTCCTGTGTAATTTTGTAGAACATAATTCTACCACCCATTCTTTCTAAGTGCATAGAATTGTTGCAAAATCGGGAAGCGTGCTCGCTTTGTAACCGGGAGGTCATGAGTTCAAACCCCAGCCGGGACATACCAAAGACTTTCAAAACGGTACAAACTGCTTTCTCTGCTTAGCACTCAGCATCTAAGGTTTAAAACACACAACACTACCAGCGGGCTAGCCCCCTGTGTTTGCACAACTGTGTGGCCCTAGGGCTACAGAAATAGAGATGGACACCACCCCTATGCTCTGCACAGAGTGGAATGGGACCATAGAATTGGTAATGCACCTGTGATGGAATGGTCCTTACATGTGACAGGACAGAATACTACTGTACATGTATTCTGTGATCAGACATTGTACAGTCATACTGGAATATTTCATGTTTCATGTACATGGGAATATTTCATGTTTCATATTTCATGTACATGTATAGATGCATTTTTTCATTTGTTTTCATTTATTTTACCAGTAGATCACACTAAGATCTGTGAGCTTTTTTTCATATGTCCCTGGGCAACTTTTGCCAAGACATTGCCCATGGGATCATATGTTTAGCACTCCAACGTACATGTACATAAAGCAGAATGACACTGTAAGGATTTTGGACAATGAACAAGACTATTTCTTGAGAGGGGTGAAGGAAGCCATATACATCAGGGCCCATCACCCTACATTGAACCGCGACGGGGGCCGATATCGTCTACCAGATACCTTTGACCCAGTGTTGACGTCACACTTCAAAGAAGCCACGTGACAAGCTTCACTGGGTCAGTCTACTGAGGAAGACCAGAGTGACTGGTCGAAAGCTCTAGGTGAGAACTTTTTTGTGTTGGACCAAAAGTTTTAACTCTAAACATGAATCAGAATGCTGTCCATCAGAGTTGAGTGACACGTATAGATTTCTTGGTCCTTTGACTCCCTCCCTCTACCTCATCCTTCTGAGTCTTAGTCTGTTGTCTCATCTGAAGACGTAACATTCTCACCTCCTCTTCTTTAGCCTGGGGCACAAGCAAGTCATCAGACATGTCAGACTTCAACAACATACAGCAAATTTTTCAGGATTAAGTGAGTATGGTCACATCATACACAGTATAATGTCCTTGGTTAAAGGCATCCAGCGTGATTTCAGGGCAGCAAAACTAGAAATATTTTGAATAAGGCAATCTTTGTGATATTGAAAACATACAGACATTAGCACATTAGTCAGTATTTCATACTTTGGGCTTTTATTTTTCCGCAGAAACAAGCCTCAAGATGAGTCCTTTCCTTTCTGGGTGGTACCATAAAATCAGCAAATGGCCCTTCCAGTAACCATTTTCTCTCAGAATTTAGGGTATTTCTGCTCCAAGAGGGTCAATATACATTGGGATAGTGTGGTTTCTACTCAGTATGTAAATAAATGACTAGAATATTGACTTTGGAAAATCGGGTTTCCAAACCCTACAAACTGCACTGGATGCCTTTAACTAATAGGACAGCTCGATGAAGGTTAGATATCCAGGTAATGAGATACACAAGGACATTGTTACTCAAGCAACTGGATAGAATTTGAAAACTGTTGACATTTCAAGTACTAGTTAGTATCATTGTCAGTAAGACAGTGACTAACAGAATCTGTAGTTGAACAGGTATTTATCCAACATTGGATGGCATTCAGGGTATCATCTTTCTACCCGCATTGTAATACCAGCAATATTTTCCTTATGCAAGTATAAGTCAGTATGAGGGCTAGCCCTTTATAATAGCATCCGGCTAGTTGGGCATTCCTGGTTTAATATTTGTTTATACAGTTTATGAATCAAATCAAATCAAATCAAATCAAATCAATAAGTCAGTAGCCATCTATGCGATGAGTGTTACTAGTATACATGTACAAAAACATACATCTAAACTTTGCTGACTTTTGTATCACTATGACTTAATCATAATCGTAATAGTGAATACATCATCATATTTTTTAAATAACAACAACCAAAACACTAAAGAAATCACTTTTAATAGATAAATACATTGTAAAAACAAAAGTTCTGAAAATGATTACAATAATTACAATTTGAGGCTATCTGCCCCTAACAGGCAATTTACAAGTAGGAATAAGTATCAGTTGTCCAATACTACTTTTTTTGTCAGGTACATTGTTCAGGTATCCAAGCATGTTGCAATTATTGGATACCAGAATGTGCAAAAAGCAGGCTTTGAACAAAAGCTCCCTCTAACAAGACTCTGCAGTACTGCAGTGATGAGTACTGACCTGTAGCTGAAGTCTGAGCAGCTTCATCTGTTCTGCAATCTCCAGTCTCACGTCCGCCATGATGGACATTCTCAACTGGATTAGATAAAATATTATTAATAAACCATCAGTTTTTAATCTTTCCAAGCAATCTGTAGACATTGTTACAAGTTTAAGCATTAAACATCTATTGGCATAGTCAATTATAGACAATTGTATGTCCCAATTTGAAAGCTTCCAATACCACTTAAAATTTACAGTTGGGCTGGGCTAACATCACTTTGCTTGTTACCTTTGCAAAGAAGGTTATGTTTTTGGTAGTGTTTCTGTATCTGTATCTGCATAGCCGCCCTTCGGCATAACACACCAGCTAAGTCATGGTACATGTATATGGTATAATGCGAGAAGAAACTTACATGTAATGGACAGATTTGGTACATGTAGGTGGGTTAAGGTCTTCATCAAGTCGAAATGAGTTGCCAATTCAAACGTCTACAATTTATCCTAATTTCTGAGCTTACAAAGAAAAAAATATTCCTCTCTTAACAAGTAACGTTACCCAAAACCCGCACATTTTGGAAAAGGTGGGACATTACGTCTTCCATGGTTTACAAAAGAGAAGTCAAACACCGTTCCAGACAATTACCTTTTATACCGTAGATTTCATAGTTGTTTTGTGCCCTGCGTCTATGTTCTTTTGTCCTTGTTACCTTCGGACAGGACAGGAATTTGTAATTTAACTTTAAATTGTCCCACCTTGTGTAGATTCTTGTCCATGTCCCTCTGGTGATCTTCCCTCTGTGTGCACAGTTCCTCCCTCATGTCCCTGACTTCCCTGTGTACCCGCTCCCTGTCCGCAGACAGGAGTTCCCACTGTTTCCCCGGGTCCAGGGGTGGGGGGGCTGGGGTGTAGTTACCAGGGTGTGTGGACAGGGGGCGCTCACCAGAGTTCTGTACAAGTACAGCCAGGGCCTGCTGCATGTGTCCCTGTTCTTTCAGCAACTCTATGAGCTGGATATCAACAAAGTGAATAGACCTTAGCTTGCAAATTCATCTGTGAATTACAAATTACCCAAAATTTTCACCACCAAATTAGATTAAATTCTCAGAGCTGATTACTGAACAGTTATGCATTATGGCTAATGTACTAATAATGAATTACGATGATTTTGGATGGCTGCGTACAGTTTATAAAGACTAAAAAGGCCTTGTTACGCCTTACAAAAGAGGGCATGCCGGCCCTCATCTGTAATGTGGTAGAAGTCATTATGAAATGACCGGTTGTGTGACAGGCTGAATAAAAGTTCTAAACAGGAACTATGCAGCTCCAGATGTCTTACTGAGTGATGGCTGCGTGTGCAAGATGTCGGTTAGCTTGAGGAATGAATCCCCTCTTCAATATGCATTGGCAGAAGTCATTATGAAACAAGTTTGATTCCAACACAAGAAATTGAACTTACCCAAATTTTACTGTACAGAGGAAAATTAACATTGAGACCAAAAATATTGTAACAGTTAGAATATAATAATAATATAGAGTGTATGTATCATAAAATGTACACTCACCTGACCCAGGAGTTTTAGTTTACTCAGGGAAGAGGGGGACTGTTCCTCCACAAATACTGCTGGGTCCTGGGAAATAAAGTCAAACAAACTTTTAACCCACTCACCCACATACAGCTGTACATACCCACAAAAACCTACTCAAGTAGTAAGAGCATTCAGACATCAGCAGACCTGCTGTAGTTTGATGACTGAGATTACCCATGCAGCATACCTCTTGTATGACAGCCTGTAGATGGTTTGCTAACATGGTCTCCAACACCTCTGCTTCCTGTAGAACTTCTGCTCGGAGAACAACCAGCAACTCCACCTCCTGCCTACATACAAACAAAGCAGCAAACAAACAAACTTTATTCAACTTCAAAAACAATGTAAGGTTACACTGTAACCACCCACCCTGAAGTACTCACACAGATGTCTCTCAGTTAGAGACCTCATACTACTACAGAATTTGAAAGTAATACACCTGTTACAACTACTTCACATTAGGGTAAGATCTCTAGTTTCCTGGTTTTTATTTTGGGGATAAATGACAAAAAAACTATTGATTTGATAGAGAAATTGATAAGAGCAGGAATGAAATATGATAAATCCAATCACAATTTATCCAAACATAATGGTCCAGCTCCAATCTTCACTGTACATGTACCAAAATTAGTGCCAGGAATTTCATAGGATTTGGATTCAAAGTTAGTATTTTGAACCTTGTAGACACGACAATTCCAATAGTTAGGCCACACCAATTTAATTTGTTGGTCCTCAGATTTTTTCAGGAAAAATATGAAGCGACAGGGCGAAAAAAATAAAAATAAAAACAGATCTAGGCATCCTATTATAGCCCCAAATGCTACGATAGGAGGTATGAAGTCAACACAAAAGGCTGGTTCAAAATTTAAACAATGAATTTTGAACTTCTAATGATACCACTGCATTGAAAGATGGAATAACTGTAACGACTAGGAAGAAAAGGACTGTTTTCAACTGTTCAGAGCAAAATATGAGCATTTTGCAGTTGATTCTGAATTTTTTTTTTTTTTTCAAGTCAGGAAAAAATGAAGAGGTGAATCCGAGAACCAACAAATTGAATTGGTGTGGCCTTAAAGAGCAGTTTGTACATGTGTATTGTGTTGTACCTTTCCTGTCCTGTCATGTGGTTGTAGAAGGCAGCGTAACACTGAGCAAACGTCAGCTCCAGCTGTACCAGCTGTCCTCTGTACTGTGTCATACAGCAACGGGCTAGATCCACCTCACGCAGGAGATGCTGAGGAGAGAAGGAATAAGACATGTATAATATACAATACAACACGGTGTATTCCATATTGCCTGAGGTACCAGTCCGACCGCAGGTCACATCGATCGCCCGAAGGCCGGAGGGAGATCCGACTTGCGGAAGGGCTGGGACCGAGGGTGATGCGGAACACACCATGTAGTATTTCATTTATGTCATACCCACCCAAAACATGCTTTTCAGTGCGAAATGAACATTTGCCCCTAAACCAACATATGCAACGATTCCAACATCCAAATCTGGTATTCGAATTTTTGAAAGTGGCACATGTGGCAAAACACGTTCAAATTATTCTATGGAACATTTGATAGCCAAATAGAACCCCGTACCGCTAGTTATCCAATGGGCCAGATGTCTAACCTTCGTCGATGTAATGACAATCATTATTAATAACAACTTCATTTTCATGATCAGGAACTCTCTGTCAGTTAGTAATTTTGCTAAATCACCATTTTCGGACTAGTGGAAAAGTTTGACTTGATACTCAGCCACATATCAGCAGCTTGTCCCACAGTTTCAAATGTATGATCATTATAACAAATACAGTCAGGTAGTATCATATTGCAGAAAGAAAAATAAGCTCCTGTAAGATAAGATGTGATTATATTTAAGATAATGTGATAATGATGTAAGATAAAGGTTCCTACTTCTTTAGGAGATGTGTAGTGCAGGTCATAGTGTCCAGGAGAACCCAGCTGGATCTCTGACAACTTCTCATGTCTGCTAGACTGGGGAGGAAAGAAAAAATACAGAAATCTTTTACAGTAACTGTAAAATACATGTACATGTACATAGAGGGCCTCTTTGACAACATTCAGTTCTCTCTTAAGGTATTATAATCCTATTGTAATACAATATCTGGCAAAGATGATGCTTTGAATTAAGTCAGTGAATCAAGAATATAAAATGAGGCAACAAATGACTGCATCATGGTAATTTCAAAGTACATCTATTTTCTATACTAATATCACTTGCTGTCCAAAAACTGGTCTTGCACATAGACTAACATGTACATTGCAATATTGATATTAGACCACACCAATTCAATTTGTTGGTTCATGGATTTGCCCACTTCATTTTTTTCTGATTTGCAAAAGAAAAAAACATTTCATCCATTGGATCAAAATGCTCATATTTTGTCCTCAGCAGTTGAAAGAAGTTCCTTAAAAGTTTGTTGTTACAGTTTATCTATCAATGCAGTGCCTTGATTAAAAGTTTGAATAAAATTAATTGTTTGAATTACAAACCAGCCTGGTATGTTGACTTCATAGCTATCAATTGAAAGCATTTGCAACTATCATACAATGCCTATGCCTGTTTATATTATATTTTTTTTCTGTGACATTTTTTTTCTGAAAAAAAAAAATCAGTGAAGCAACAAGTCAAATTGGCCTTAGGATTACTAATCTTACAATTTAGACACACACACACACATACACACAGACATACACTGCTGAAAATACTACAACTTAATTGTCCACCCCATATCATCCAAAGAGTATCCCCTACATCTGCATGGCTAGTGGTGTGGTAAGACTGACCATGACCAGAGCGGCCAGTGTCCAGTAGTCCTGTAAGGGATGGTCATCAGTGGTCCCAGGACTGTTGGAAATGCTGACTTCAGATGACGTCTTCTGCAAGTCACGTGCAATTCCTTCTGCGGTGTACCTGTGGGGCAGATAGCATGGTGTTAACTACTATCACCTCATGCAGGACTGTTCAGCCATAGTTAAAGCTGTAGGGCTGACAACATTTTACCATGGTCAATACTGACTGAAGGGGACCACTAATATGTTTTTGGTAGTGTCTGCATGTGTGTAAGTGTATAATATGCATATGTATTGCTTTTGTGTATTGAGTATATGTATTGTGTAATAGTATGTGTATTGAGTGTATGTATTGTGTGTATTGTGTAAACCATATGTCGTTGTATTGTGTATGTGTATTGAGTATATATTGTATTGTGTATGTGTATTGAGTATATATTGTATTGCGTATGTGTATTGAGTACATGCATTGCATGTGTATTGAGTAAATGTATTGTGTATTGAGAGTATGTATTGTGTATGTGTATTGGGTGCATGTACACATATTGTGTATGTGTATTGTGTAAACTATATGTATTGTATATTGGGTATTGTGTAAAATCATGTGTATTATGTGTGTGTGTATGCATGTATATGCATGTGTGTATGTGTAACTGTATGATTGTGCATGTGGCCTAGCTTGAGGAACACGAACATCCAGTCTCCTAACCTGTTGACAGGTTCCATGATATCCAGACTCAGCTCCTCAGCCACACTTGGAGCCCGCTGTCTCCTGACATCAGTCTGTGGCTTACTGTCCACTGGGGAGGCCTGTAGATCTACACTGCTGTCATCCTGTTCCTGTTTCCTGTCACACGTCTTCAAACCTTGATCTGATGTCTCCCCTGTTTGCTGTACCTTCACATGTAGGCTGTCTGCAGTGGGCAGGGGTAGAGCGGGCTGATTGGGAAAGTTTTCCTGAGAACCGTCACATTCTGCCTTCTTTTTCACCAGGAACTTTCCCCGAGCTTCTTCCACAAAACGCTGTACATTCTGCAGAGCCTTCTCCCCGCTTTCCCGTCTTTCATTTTCTGGTAAATTCTCCCACAGTCCGCCTCTGTTGGCTGTGGGAGGTGCGGTGACTTCCTTCTTGCGACGTACAGCTACTTCTTTCACATCGTCCTTCCCCCCCAACGGGTCTTTGATTTTTGTGTAATGTTTTGTCTCTTCTACGAGAACGTACTTCTTGCATACTTCATGGCGACTGCCCTGACTGTGGTTTCTTGTAAGTTCTACACTGATTCCAGAGCTTAGTTTGACAGGAAAGATTGATTCCCCTGCACTTTTAATGTAAGGTACACCTCGAATGTGGTCTAGTTTCTCTGGAGCAATGTTTTTGCCAACATCTACTGGCCAATCTAAGTGTTCGGTTGTCTGCTGCAGAGTTATCTTCACATCAGAATCATCAGAATGTGATGTGACCTTTTCTAGGCTGTTTTTCAGTTGTTGGAGAATGTTATCGACTATGGTATAATGTTGGGAAAGTTCTGCTGGAAACTCCAGCTTGCAATTGGTTGTCTGCGCTAATTTCTCTGGCTGAGAACTGACAGAGCCAACATCAAATACAGAGCTTGAATTGTCCTCAGGTTGATGTCCAGATTGTGATGTAAACGTAGGATCTGGGGTTGATTCTTGGTCATCCGAACACCTCTTGTGTCCTTCATGTATGGTTTGAGTACCCTGAGTCTCCTCACCACTTGCAGTATTGTCTACGCCAAGCATATTTACAGCTGAAACTACATTTAGACTTGCACCCTGAGAAACTATGGCATCGCAGTGATCATTCTCAGCACCTACAGAAAACTGTGGCAGCACGTCTTCACATAAACAGGCTGACAGGTCCGCATCCTGGAAGGCACAATCCTTGTTTCTGTGGTCTTTGAAAAACTTTCCACAGTGGACACACGGACGATCAGTTTTTACATGTGTTTTGCCTGAGTGGAGAACATTTGTGTCAGAAAAGGCTACGTTTGGCACTGATGAAGAGTGGCAGCTAGTCCTTGCTGCAATGGTTGAACTCTGCTCCTCATTAACTGTAACACGTTCTTGCACACTATTTTCCACATAGTGACTCTCTGGTAATTTGTACTTTGAATCATGATGTAACTCTAGATCAAGCTGCATAGGGCAGTAACTTGTCATAGTCTCCTGTAGTCCATCTACCAGCGCCCCCTGGCTGTTGTTCACGTGAATGACAGTTCTGGTGCTAGCAAGACTCTCTGCACTGCTTCCCAGTCCCTCTATCTATAAAAGAAAAATGATACATCGGTTCTGATCACATGCAGGAATGAAACTTGTGACAGCAGTTAAAGTGTGATTATTAATGCCAGCTTGTCCATTACAGCAGCTTCCTAAAGTTAGGAGTCCAAGCACTGGTTAGTTATTATATTAAAGTTAGCAGTAATCACAGCTTCTGCAGCACTGTGTGTGTGTGATGAAGCACGGCAAGCACAACGCAAAAAAAATAGCCTGCACTTTCTAATCATTGTTGGGAGCAGCAAATTAGGAGCACATGCAGGGGTTTCCACAGCCATCTGAGAAACACTTAGTATTGGAACAAGCATGATCTGGCATTATAATACAGAATCTGATACATTTTGAAAGGAAAATCACAATTATGGAAAAAAACTTGCAGATTACTACATGTAGCAAATTTGATAATGCTTAACAGCATTTAGCAATGAACAATTATATCTGTTTTTAACCAACTACCTGTGGGAATATTTTAAAAGCAGCCACTTCTTATGCAACCTGTACTTGACTTTCTTTAATTTGAATTTCCCTTCTCTCCCACAGAAAACTGACTTGAACTAATACTTGTGAGGAAGATAACTGCTAACATTCATGATATGAGAGGAAGTACTGGTAGGGTTACACATGTCCATCTTACAATAAATACACCCTTAGACATGCGAGAAACCAAAGTAATAATTCTGTACGAATGGAGTGATCTCTACATGAAATCTTCTTCCAAATTTATTTAGCTTTCAATACAATACAATGCAAACCATGGATATTTTGCCAAGATAGAAATATGAGAATAGTTCAATGCCAAACGCATATTACCTTCGCCAGTCATCACAAAATGCTTATACTAATCCTACTCTAGCCATCATCAGGATAACTAGTTTTATCCCTAAGGCTTCATTAGTTTCGTTACATAGATAGTGGTTAAGTTTTGGCATGCAATGGGTAATATTTGTAACCATGCTGCATGCATAACCACAGTCAATGATCCAGCCCAATGTAGGTATTTGTAATTTTTGTTTGAGAATACAATATTATACTAACGTTACTGATCTTACATCATAACAATTTCAGGCAAAATTTCGTAACAGTGGGGTTCAAGCAGCCCTATAACTGACCAGTCTAACAGGTCCAGACCTTTTAGCCTTGCAGTTAGTGCACTAGGTTACAATGTAGCAAGCTGGCTGCCCGGGTTCGATTCCCAGGAGCTATTAGGAGACTGTATTTATTTACTAATGCCCTTTGTGTTGTTTCAATGGTTCCCACACCAGGAATCGAACCTGCACCTTAGCGATGAGAGTTTCACAAATCCAATACCACTACCTGGAAGGCTAAAAGGTCCAGACCAGTTAGACTGGTCAATTGGTGGCACTTGAATCCCACTCTTACACAAGAAGTTTTAGGTTCAAATCACAGTACACTGCCTGATGACAAAAGCTAGGATCAAAAGGAAAGTGCAGGCTATGTTTCCTGAGCACATGAGACACTTATGCTGTGAATAAACAATGTCCATTCCTGGAACAGGACTTGCAAACATCCGATCACTCTCAGAGGAGGACAGTTCAGCTTTACACCACACCATATCGTAAGCTCTCATTGCCATCACTAATGACAAACATGCACCATTGTCCAATAGACACCCCTTAGTCGATGCCTATCTTGCACAATGAACTTACTATCAATGTTCTTTTCGTCCACAATTTTCTCCTGCAAACCTTTGGCCTGAAAAAGAAAATAAGTTGGGCAGATGATAGAAATTTAACAAAAAGGTTTTTAATGGCCAAGTGAATGTTATTTGTTAGACAGAGGCTCTAGACATATTGGTTAGACAGCAGCATAAAGGAAGCAATATTTGTACTGTCTTGTACTTGAAAAAGATTATGATTTAAGTGTTGCCTGAATGGGTACCTGACTTCAGTTGGGGAGGTACGTAAAAGGCGGTGGAAGGAGAGGGATGGGCTCAGCCTTCCAATACTGTGCCTGAGACACAGTGGATTGCTAAATTTACCACAGACTCTCCCTACTTCTTTAAAAAGGCTATCGGACAACATTTACCTTCAAGTTTATCTTTGCCTTTACCTTGAAGTGTTTCAGTCCAGATTTCAAGTCTAACAAAAAGTAAAAAAGGAGCAGCAATGTTCATGCTTCACATACTACAGTTCACAAAACTTCTGTCACAGCGTGCAGCTCAGCACATCTTGACGTGCTGACTAATGCGGTGATGGCAATGTGGAATGTTCGTGTCACAATAAGTGGCTACTTTCTGTCTAAGGGGCCAGCGCAACAATCTGCCATGTAACATGGTGGATCTTCCATACCATGCCGTTGAACTTTGCGGCCAGAGGGTTTTACACAAGAAAACTGGCAACTTCAGCAAAGAAAACCATACGTACGAACTTGGCAAAGTCTGTATTTCCCAAATTCAAAAAATGATCCATGCTTCTCGAAGTCTGCGTGGTGTGGGTAAAAATTTGTCTGGTGTAAGTTAGTTGGTGGCCAACCCTGTAGCACAGTAGGAAGCAGGCATATATACCTGATCCTGTTTTACACGGTCATCAATTTTAATCTTAACTGTTAAAACAATACATCACAGTCAAGAAACACGAACTACACTATCACATGTACAAAAATGTAAGACAAGACTTATTTATAACTAATATTAGGCCAAATATATACAGAGTTTTTCCTGACGTTGCCAATATCTGCTGCTGTTGGGATGGTGCTGTCGCAACGGCTCTGTACACATCCTTATTTGTTTGTTTATTTGTTTATTACAATTCTCCACAATACACATGTACATGAAAGGCATGGTGGAACAGGTGGACCTACATGTAGTACACCTTTTCAAGGCCACCAAGGCCACATTGCCAGGAAGTATGGCAGAACACCTGTGGCGCTTGGTATATGGTACATAACCCGGCTTACTCAACCTTTCCTAAAGTTGAACACTAATGGCTGTCTGTAACTTTCTGCTCAGCTGTGCGTGTTTGTTGCACTAACCATAACTGAATTACAATTATTCTAGCTTTGAATTTTATTCTTATGTGTCTGTTTTAAACTTACTGGTGACTAGCTTCTGTATCAACAAATGTACTATAGCCTCCATAGCATGCCAAAAACTGGGGGTTTTGGGGGTCTTCAGGGTCTTTGGGATCTTTTATGTGCTATTTTCTGATTGCATAATAGACAACATAGCCGGCCTGGTTGAATTACCCACGTTTTTAGAACTGGGCTAATCAGAAAACAGCCGAAGACCACCAAACCCCCAGTTCTATAAGCCTGCTACGGAGGCTACAAAATGTACGTCTTGAATTGTTACATTTAACATGAATAGCAAAGTTCTTTGGTCACAACCATTTATTTTTCACTAGCCGATGTTTCGATGACCTTCTGTCATCTTCATCAGGGCAATTCTGACTGGTTTACTGTGCACTAGCTGACGCTAGATGTTACTTGGTGCATAATGCACTAAAGGTGTTACATAGTGCACAGTGCACTTAGGCTAGTTTTTACTGTTTACAATGCATTCCGGAACGTACTATAATTGTGACGATGTCAGCTCGTGAAAAATAAATGGTTGTGACCAAAAAACTTTGCTATTCATTCGTTTACCAACCTGATGAAATTATTTACGGATGTTACATGTTGTAAGCATACGGAGTACAGTAACAGTTCTAGATGAGAGCTCACCTTCGCACTGTCCATGAGACAGGACGGATCAGACCCGATGTGGCTGTCATCAGCAAACCCACTGCTGTCCGACTGGGCGCTGTTCTGGTGCTGCAGGTTACCATGGTTACTGAACAGGTGTGTGGACCCGCGAGGCCACGCCCCTTCCTCAGGAGTCACATCTGTGCTGCCAATCTGGAGGACATGACGGACAGGATTCTGTTATGTAAGAAGTGAGTAAGAGATGGCTGAGGGTCTGCATGGGGGATCCTGCCAACGCTTAACGGTAGATTAATTTTACGAGGTCTGATAGTGGTTTACGGTAATGGTAAATTATTAGTTAGCTTTTCCCGTGTAAGGCTTTGGGAATGACTTCATTAGGCCAAGGAAAAAAAAAAGGTGTGTTTCCTGACTGACCCTAGAAAAAACCTGCTGACCCTAGCCTTTTTTGTGTGCAAGGGACAAAATTTTTCAAGCTGATCGACCTTTTCTAGCTCCATGATCTGACACATGAGTGATGTAATGTTGTATAATCAGTTTTCCAACATTGACACTGAAAAACAAATTAGGGTCCTCATACAAGTTTTACTTTGTAAATTAAAACTACAGTATAGTTGTTTAATTTCGATAACAAGACATCACATATTAAGTCTAAAAAAAGGTCATCTCTACCTACCAACCCTATAAATTAGTATAATTTGTTTCAAGACTGAAACAGGAAATGCAGCATTTTTCCTAGGTCTTACCTCTTCCATTTCAAAAGACTCCTGTGGGAAGGCAGCGTGTGTCTGTGGTACAGGCAGGCTCACTGACACCAGTTTGTCATCAGGGGTGGACGTCAGTCTGCTGCGGGGGAACAACAGATCCTCCGGGGGGGAATCTGCATCAACATTTGGCACCTGATGGAAACAACATTCAGCATTAATATCATGTTACCTTTGCAAAAGGAGAATATCTAATTGTTTTGATCTGTTTATTCTTTCTCCTCTTCTTCTCCCAAGAAATAAGGTTAACGTCCTGGACCACATATCTGTCACCATGGTAACTGGTGCTGTAGCAGACACCCTGTGGCGTTGGGATACATTTTGTAGCAGGACAGAGCTGGCTACATTACACCAAACGACTTGTTACACTTAACCCTTGAAAATTTAACTCAGTCTAAACATAGTTTAACGATATCTAGCAATAATGCCCCTACTGTACTTGGTGACAGCGAGTTCCACTCTGCAATAGTTCTAGGAAAGAATGAGTTTTTGAACACCTCAATCCGAAATTTTTATGCCATGCTAGTGTCACCAAGCAAGCAATCAGAAATGCCAGACTTTACCACCTAATAACCAAACCAAACTGGTTGCTAACCCTTCCAGTAGGGATTAATGGCAATGCTGCATTGTTTATATTGGGAATCACAGACAGACAGATCCTAGCCTTTGTTTTAATGTACTACTAGGTAAGGCTATGATTTGAAACCCCGAATTTCAAACCCTCTGAATTCAGGAAATAACACATTGCCACAAGCAATTTTTCTTCAGTAAATCAAGTGAAATATTTGTTCAGAATCAAACAGGTGGATGGGTCCTTGGATCATTTTAGCAAAAATTAAAAAAAAAAAGAAAACCTGAAACACAACTGTGACTGTAACATTAAATTTTTCTAGGCCTAGAATCAATAATCAGAAATCATCATTCTCACACAAACCTTTGAAAGCCTACATGCTTTTCTCTTTGGCGATGGACCTTGTTTACTGGTAGCATCTGGAGATACCACAAAAGCTATCCTTTCCATAGCTTCAGGTTTCTCTTCTACTGCACTGCCCCCTGGCCTCCCTGTGGTGAACTGCAGCTGTTGCATGTCTTCATTCTGCGTCACTGGACTGAAAACTCCCTCACTGTTCCTTGAACTACTTGTACATGTATTGTCTTCAGGATCAGTTGGACTGTAACATATTCTGCCGATTTTCTCCTCCAACTCTTGTGAGAATTCCTTCTCGAGTGCGTGCTGCAACATTTCTGACAGCTCCTTGGATTGAAGCGTGTTTTCCAGACTGCTATGCGGAGACTCCTCCTTAACAGGTTCTAGGTTACACTGAATGTGCGGCATGGACAGAGATCTCTTCCTCATCTTCCCCCTGTTGTCAGGACGTTTTGCTCCGCTGTCTTCAGTTGACAGTTTCCCGTCTTTATCCAGGCAGAAAGACTCAGCACTTCTCTGCTTGACTAGTGTTGCTCTTTTAGCCCAACGCTGTGCTTTGGTGGATGTTGGTATGCTTGTGCCACTCTGTTTTGGATGTACGTCTTTAGTTTCTTGCAATATTTGGACTTTTACATCCTCTACTTCACCAGCTACGCTGGCAGCACCAGTACTACTGGACTGTCGGGTCTTCTCCTTGGCCATGTCAGTAGTACTGACTGTCACTGACCTCCTCAGCAGCAAAGGATCATGGGATACATCAACAGCCTTCTCTGTCCTGTGGTCTGATGAAGGTTGATGACTGTTTATAGTGGACTGAGTCATTCTCCTACACAGAGCAGGGTCATATGTTCTATACTGGTGGTGTACAGCAATACTGCCAGTTGACATACGCCGATGATACATGGTTGATACAGGACGGTCATATACACCTTGAGATAAACAGAAAAAAAAATCATGCATATTCAGAGCTTGAAGTTCATTTTTGAGAATAAGTGCACTGGTGCAATTAATCGAAGAACTTACAATGTGGGTGCACAATTTATAATTACAGTATGGACATATTGCATGTTCAACCCAGGGTTGCCAAACTAGTGAAGATTATTATTAAGGGCTAACCCGTGGAAAGAATACAGAACATTATACACAATGATTAAAAACCAGGTGCACAAAAAATTCTATGAGTACAACAATCCATGTGTCAGCCTCCTAATTATAAATTTACCGTTGAGCATTGTCGGCCCACATAACTTTACTGTTAAGCATTGTCAGCCCTTCTAAATTTACCTTTAGGCGTTGTAAGCCCTTTTTAATTTACAATTGAAAGTTCTCAGCCCTTTGTTGGCCCTCCTAAATTTACTGTTAAGCATTGTCAGCCGTCCTAAATGTGAAGAGTTTCCAGGATCCCCCATGCACACCCTCCTGTACCTGCCCATCCGTGGTAGGCCGTGTCCTGTGCCATCTCCCTGGCCATGTACTGTGAGAGGTCCACCCCCCCACAGCGGGACTGGTGCTGCAGGAACCTGTCTGGTACACGCAGGGTGGTGCTGTAGTCCCCCCCTCCTCCGAAGCCCAGGCTCAGCAGCAGTTCCTCAGGGTCACATGTACGAGCCTGCAGCAGACCCTCGATGCTATTGCTGCGGAAATCCCAATGGTAACAATGTAACTGATTAGCAGAAGTTATAGTAAAAATTTTAATGTTTAATCTTATTCCATCACAAGTACAGAGAGATCAAATTTTCAACGACAATTATCGCCGTCATCAGTATATATTTAAACGACCAATCACTTCCAACCCTTTTCTAGCTCCATGATCTGACACCTGAGTGATGAAACATTCTACGATCAGTTTTCTAACATTGACATTGAAAAATTATAAGTGAGCTCATCCAAGCTTTACTTTGTTGAACTGCATTGTATAACTTGGATCTCTAAAGATTGCCAAAGTCTAAAAAAATAATTAACCCTTTCTACAAACCCATTTTTTTTCAGGACTGAAACAGGAAACACAACATATTTCTTCCCTAGGCCTAATTCAGCCATTAACCCTATATTTAATAAATTTACTTATAATTATCAGCAGCACTGTTAGACTGTACCTGGACAGTGATGTCTGTGTGGAAGTCTCGGTGGCAAAGCTCTCAAAACTCTCTCCCATCTGCATGAGTCTGGCCTGTCTGTTCATCCTGGCATGGTTGGACAGCCAGTAACACTGGGTACCACCTAACACTGTGGGTGTAGGGGGGGCCCTGCAGACAGCATGGCAGAAAAAAACTAGATATTACAAACTAGAAAAGTTATTACTAACATTTGCAAAGCAAATGCATAATGTTCACCTTCGCATATATGGTCTGCTCTGGTAATTCTTACTCAAACACATTCATATATATGGTGACAGAAGTCTAAATCCCTCCTGTTATAAAATTGCAACATGATGTAACCCAACACTAGTTACTATGGCAACAGACATCTGGTTCTGGCCATTGACCTTTTGAGTTTGGAACGGACGAGGAAACAGACTGAGCAAAAACAATATGCTTAGTTTTCAATTAAACAATGTTAGTATTAGTGGACTTACTATCTTTATACATATGTTTGTGAAGATTAGTCATCCAAGGATATACTATTAGATAAATAAGATTGTGCTTCAAACTTTACCACTGGATATAATGATTTCTATACAGATGTTTTGAGTGTCAGTCCAACATCATCAGTTTTCTTCTACACTCTTCATCATAAATTTTGAAATTCGTAATGTTCTCAAATACTATTTCCTGCATTACGAGGTGAAAATTTTGAGTACAGCCAATTTATTTTTCCTTTGTTACAACATAATTTTTTTCAAGGTAAGATGGAGAAAAAGGCCATCTTTAGGGCATCCTACCAAAAAGTAGGGCATCCAATTTCTTGTTATTTTCAGTACAGGGTGTCCAAAAGATGCCCAGACACCCCTCTAGCTATAAGCCTGGACCTAATGGAGTAAAACAACTGACCCTGCCGAGGTAGTGGAGACTGGAGGGTCCAGCAGCTTTGCCTCTGAACCAAGAGTCAGGTCGTCTTCTGTACTGTCTCCTCTACTGATCTTCTCACCTGAAAACAAGACCGCATGACACCAATAAGGCCACACCTGGCACATCAAGTACATGTAATTTTTATGGATGACATCCTCTAGATCTGGAGACACAAAATTAAATGCAAGAGCATGATAAAAACCCAAGTAGGGCAAAAAAAGATACCTACTAGCTACATATACTGAAAGTTTATTGCAAATACTTGCCCGATCTACGTCTAGCATTATATTCTACAACATACATGGTACTAGTTTTACTGGGTTTGACTTCTTCTTTTTAGGCAATGGAAGACGAATTTACCCACTTCTTCTATAATATGTGGGTTCAAAATGTCTTCTAGTTGTCATGAAAACAGCAATAAATCAGATAGTGCAAACTTTTCTGTTATATGATCCTGTCAATAGCCAATTCAGGCGTTCAAGATTTTTGTCAATTTTGTCCATCAACTGGCATCAAGGTTGACGGATAATAGGTTCAAAATTTTTCCGTCACATGCCACGAAGTTCCTGCAACTGACTGGAAAAACTGGTGCTGGCTAGAGCTCTATAAAAAGAAGCAGTCCTTACGGAAGGGGTACTCCATCTCCCCATCATCACCTCCCCTGTCTGTCAGTGTGTCGTCTACAGTCACTGTACAGTCTCCTGGGCTGGAACGACAAGTTAAAGGCACCCAATGTAATTTCAGGCGAAACAAAAATATTCTTGATGAGGAAATCTGCCTGATATTGACATTCACTCCCATTTTGTAGCACAATTTCAGCACTTTATGCTCAGGCCACACCATCTTAATTTCTTGGTTAACGGATTTTTCTATAAAATAATGGAGCGGAGGGGCAAAAAAAAAATAAAATAAAATAAAAACAGGCCTAGGCATCCTATTATGGCCCAAAATGGTACGATAGGAGCCATGAAGTCAACACACCAGGCTGGTTCAAAATTTAAACAATCAATTTTGAACTTTTAATGATACCATTGCACTGAAAGATGGAATGACTGTAACAACAAGGATGAAAAGGACTGTTTTCAACTGTTCAGGGCAAAATATGAGCATTTTGCAGTTGATTTTGAATTTTATTTTTATTTTCAAATCAGAAAAAAATGAAGCGGGCGAATCCATTAACAAAGAAATTAAATTGGTGTGATCTCAGCCCAAAAACATTAGCTATGCGAATCATCTCTTTATTTTTGGGTACCCCCAATAAATAACTTCCTGAGAAGAGTGTACTCACTACTCTGCATCCTGGTCCACAGACTTCAGCCACTGTTTCACACTCTCCTGACTGGATAAACTACAGGATCCTGTCAAACATGGCAGCAGGGAAATTAACTTCATCAAACGTTAACAGCATGGTACTTTCTTGTAGGGTGCAGCTGTAACAACTATACTATATTTAATTTATAATATATACTAGTAGCAGGTATATTGTGTACAAAGCACGTCGACAGAACATACTGCACATAGCACTTTGGCAGAACATTTCATATAAGGTTGTATTCACATATATAAGGTTAACATCCCGTCTAGTATAGTTTCCAAATGTTGTGTCGGAAAAGATATCCTCTGCAGCAATAGGCAAAATTCTGATGCAACGTTGACCAAATGTTCAACGAAAACCGTGAAAAATCAATCAAGTACGCTCGGCCGACATGCTCACAACAGAAATGCCAGCCTATACTAGTAAATGTAACTACTAAAACCACAAACTGAAAATACTGTGAATATTTCAAGATTTACAGTATTTATTTTTTAGTCAGAATTAAGCAGCACATTGAAACTTTTCTCAAGATGCAGTTTTTAAAAATGCAATATTATACCAACAATATTAATGTCAACAAGAGAAAGGTTTGATTATTATATCACATGGAAACACAACATTACCCTCCGTATACATGTACAATACAAGGTTGTAGAACAAAGTATTAATAAAAATTAGAATACCCCCAAAGTCTACAAAGCGGGTTTAGAAAGCATTACGAATAAAATACTTCAAGACTGATTAGAAAACCTTGTGTACTGTAAGTAACAGCCAGGTGCAAACTGTTCTATGTTCTGTTCTAACCCTTGGAAGACAGGGAACAACAGACGATAAACCAGACAGTGAGGGAGTGTGTGTGGGATAGCACTATGTATCAAGTTTGAGGCTGTATGACAATGATTTTCTAGTTTGTGTATATACGTATAAATGTGCTATATTACGCAACTGACTTCAGGGTGAGTCGGTTGCAGTTCATTTGGCTTCTGCTATTTAATTTCTAAGAGAGCATCAAAAGATTGATACTTAGAGTTAGACAGAAATTTTTTTTAATTGTTGGTTGAGCCTTATTAAACTTACGTTCATTCATTTTTCAGTTTCACATATTTCTGAAGTGCACCCTACTATAATTTTTATATATCGTGTTGAATAGAGTCACCTTGGGGTCCTCAACACTGTAAAAAGTATTTCCAACCCTGTCCTTGTGGATACAGAGTTATCAGCATGTGGAATTTCTCCCACATGAAACACATAATGCACCATGAACTCTGGGATTGTGGGAAGGGTCCTCCAGGGATATCAAGAATTGCTACAATGTTCTCACTGTGTTCAGGCTTCAACAAAATATGCTGAATTTGACAAAACAAATTGGAATCAAGACTTTAAAAAAAACCCTCTCTGATGACAAATTTTGATAACAGCTTCTAGAGTAGAGTATTCCTTTAACCTATATCATTTCACTATATTGGATGTTCAGGCCTAGGAAAAAATGTTGTTTCCTGTTTCAGTCCTGAAAAAAAATAGGGTTGGTAGGTAGGTATCTATTTTTCTTGATCGTTTTTTATTAGACTTTATTAGACTATGGCAAGTTCTAGTGATCAAACTCATACAGTTTGACAAAGTAAAAATTGCACGAGGACACTTCTATTTTCAATAGCAATATTAGAAAACCAATTGTATAGCTTTTCATCACTCAGGTGTCAGATCATGGAGCTAGAAAAGGTTGATCAGCTTGAAAAACTTAGGGTAAAAAAAAGTCTAGGGTTGGTAGTTTTTTCTAGGGTCAGTCGGGAAACAGGAAACACAACATTTTTTAATAACTAAAGATGTACTCACGTGTAGACTGTGTCCTGAAGGGTCCTGGTAAGTCTGGGCTGGTCTCACAGATGTCATCAGTAGCCATGGTGGGGAGGGAGTCAGGAGTCCCTGAACAACAACACACACATGTGGACAGAGTTTAGTCCATACTGAAGAAACAATATGTAGCACATATACAAGTAACAGAGTTGTCAACCACGAATTGAGGTGTTCAAAAACTCATTTTTCCTACAACTATCTTAGAGTGGAACTCCCTGCCACAAAGTACAGTGGGGGCATCATCATCACTAGCTAGCTAGCTTCAAACAATAAACATGTAGGCTTAGTTGTTCAAAGGCTCTAGTGTAACAAGTCATTCGGTAATTGTGTATATAGTCACTTGAAGTTGCTTTTAATTATGTTGACTGAGAAATTGAGTCTGTACAGCCTTGCAAAAGTGCATTTTTGGAGACGCTCCAGCAAGCTTCTCATTCACACGCCTCGGGCATCTGATTTTTCAGATGTCAGCTCAAGAAAATGCACAGAATAATGCAAAAATAACACAGAGATGCAAATAGTCTGCCGGGACTGGCTTGTGCTGACTTTTCCGAGGTGGGACATTGAAATATTGAATGTAACCGTGCATATGTATCGTAAACGTGTCCGTTAGCCAGGTAATACTAGTTTAAGTAGTTATGTCAACTACAATCAGGTAAGGTCGTATTTTGGTCTCCAGAGCACTTTATAGAAGAACAGAAGAAAGTTCATGTGTTTACCTTCCACTCCCACAGACCTCTCCCATCTCTCCTTACTGCTGCAGTGTACAGGCTCAGCACTATCATCATACATCCTCCAACACTACCTACAACATACAACATTACAACACTATCATCATATACATCGGATTCCTCCAACACTACCTACAACATACAACATTACAACACTATCATCATACATCCTCCAACACTACCTACAACATACAACATTACAACACTATCATCATACATCCTCCAACACTACCTACAACATACAACATTACAGCACTATCATCATACATCCTCCAACAGTGGTAGAGTGAGGAAAGTTAAATGTAAAGTGCCTTTCCCAAGGACACAATATCTATCTACAATGTACAACATGTAGGAATGTTCTCGATCTGGCCTTGCCATTCGGCCACTCTACCAGTATTTCCAGAAATGGGTGGGAGTTGAGCAGGCTCTACGCAACATTCTCACATACAAACAATTTACACCAATTTTACAGAACTCACAAATTTTATGGAATCCATGTATACAAATTTTACGAAATACATACGATTCATCACAAGGTACACACGAATTTTACGAAATACATACAATCCGATATACCAGAAACATTCAAATTTTTTTGGGATACATACTATCCGTTACTCGGAAAAAATGATCCTTACTACATAATTTGGTGATTCAGATGCACTGGCCACCAAATTACTGTAAGGATGGTATGTTTCCAATCCAAGTAATGTATCGTATGTATCCCTACAAATTTTGTATCAATTCCGTACGTTTTGTATGAATTCTTTGGCACCCCTTTCACACATACCAACCAATGGCAATAATGCCGCTGGTTCAGGGGTAGGTCAGCATGTGTTTTCCATGTGGAAGTCTGACTGAGTCTGACAGCTCAGTACAGAATGTTCTCACAGTAAACACTGGAACTGTACACCCAAATCACACACGGGAAAATCAACCTACAGAAATCATGCAAATGAGGACCTTATTTGCATATCTAATTACAAACATCCACGCCTTATTTTGTGGGAAATAATAGGAATGTCATATATTTGCTTTAGAGCTATGTCACTAGAAATATAGGTTGAGAATATAAGAGTATCAAAATTCATTGTAGTTCTAAGTATGGAAAATAAACTACAGGTAGAGTGGATTCATTCCTTTAAGACATCAACCGCAGTTGTCCCTCAGAAAGACATACATACATACAAAGCTGCATACTTAGTCTAGAAGTTCCCATCTGTGACAGGCTGAATAAAAGTTTTAAATGGGAACTATGTAGCTCCAGATGTCTTAAGTACTGAGGAACGACTGCATGTGTGAGATGTTGGTTAGCTTGAGGAATGAATCTGCTCTTAATAAATTAGAGCATTATTTTATATCACCATGATACGAGAAGTAAATTTTCTCGTCATTTTTTAAAATTTAGGTTGAATCAACACTACTCCATTGCAAATAAGTGCCAGTCAGGAAGTATGTGTGTCAAAATATGACAGCTTTCAAGTGTTTAAAAGCTCAAAACACAGCTGTTAGCCATGTTTATTTATATTCTGGTAGTTTGTGGTGGCACCACAAACTGAGTGTGCCTCATGTGGGCTGTTTTAGCACCAACCATAAATGTCAGAAAAATGTGAAATAATAATTTGCACAATTATGTTGAAAGGTGGGCACAAGTTACAAACATGCGAATATTTCTTTCAGTAAAATATTTCAACTGTTGGTGCACAAATGTTACACAATGCCCCTTTAAGTTTAACCAATGTCCTTGGTTTAACTGAGGTAATTCTAGTGTGCCCCCCTCCCCAACTTTTTAAGTTGACTCCAACGTAACTTATGACGTCCAACAGGTCCTTGAAAAAACTTGCAATGTCGCAGTGGCACGAACTGTAACATCCCGTGCTCGCGGACTTCTTCCTTCTGCCCGCTCTGCTAACAATTACGTCCCGAAACACCCCTGACTACAGTGGCTACAATCTCAGTTTTGCCCTTCTCTTAATTTTGAGTCAAGTCCAGAACTTACCTTCTCCAACATGGCCGCCGCGGCCCGACCTGTTTTAGGCGGAGAGATTTGACGACAATTCGCGGCGAATGGCTTCACATGAGCTGGGCTTGATGTAGCAGAAGTCGGGTAATGACACCACACGGCCCTCCTGTTGTCGGTACGTTATGTTGTAGGAGTGAAACATGAGAGAAAGTGTTACTCCGTCATACCCACCAGCTGGCACCAAAGTTTCGACGTGTTTTTCTGCCACTTCCGGTTTGGGAGGCCGCCACTTCCGGTATTTGACTAAGGGGCGGGTCCCGGTGATCACGTGACAATGTACGTCAATGAACCTCGCACTTTCGTCATGGAAGCATTATGTGACATTTTGCACCAAAAATTTAAATATTCCAATTGAAAATAATCTCAACAGTGTGTAATGGTAATTTAATAGCAAGTGTTGACTGTTACACTACAGAATTTATAAAGACCTGTTGGTTGTGTTTGAGTGTAAAGTTATATGAATGACTGTTTGAGTAAGAATTAACAGAGCAAACCAAATGCGAAGGTAAGCTGGAAATGTTACATTTCTAGTTACCTCCATGAAAAATGGAAGTATTGTTTTTGGCGTGTCTGTCTGTGTGTGTGCGTACAAACTCACAATACCTAGTACGGTACTACGGTAGCATTTCTATCATTTTGGCCGGAATTTGCCCGCGCGCACTAGTTTGCGGGTCTTACGAGGATGCCATCCATAAAATTAAGTCGGGGTGGCCTTATACTGCCAAAAAAGAGCTGTAATTAATATGCCTTTCAGGAAATTTAAACAGAAACATGACACACAGCTATAATACTTACTCTCCAAGCAGAGGTTGTGGGAATGATCGTTCATATATGGCCGTTTTTTTTATCGCTACCCCCATCACCCGTCGGCGGCTAGCTGGCGACCTTCTCTGGCTAATGGATACTGTCTGGCCAATTTGATATATACTGTCTTTTTGCCACCGAAAGGGATCTACTTGGAGATTAATAATACTATCTGAGAAAGGGGGATCCGGTCAGCTGAAACGAAGGAGAAACCATTCTGATTTGCCTCCCAAGCAGGAGAAATTCTAAGCCTTACCTTCAGATGTCAGGCACAGTTGTGAGGTCTATATCTCCCAGCATCTTTTCTAGCCTGGACTAGTACTTCAGCTTGGTATCTCCAATCGCTGTGACGCCGGCGCCTTTTTTTAAATTTTTTTAATTTTTTTAAGAGAGACTAGTGTCGGCGAGGTCTGCACAGCCTGAAGCAGGCAGGGACACTCAGCCTCTTCTTCACACTCTTCCACATCCTTCGGCAGAGTCCGGTCTTTGGGACCGGTTCCGCATCGATGATTGTCGTCGTGCTGGTTCTGCGTGCCGCGGCCGCCTGTTGGCTTTCCTCCCCCGCGGACATCACACAGTTGGGGAGGGTGTCGGCCTGAGGGAAAAGTCCACCTTCCTCCGTAGTGTCGTTCAGCACCGACGTTTGTTGGTCACCACTCTTAAATTTCACCGACATTGTTTCGCGCACGCCTTTCCTGGTATGTAAACTCAGGACCTCCGAACTGGAGGATTTTACAACGTGTACATCATGTACTCGCGAAGACATTTCAGTCACTTCGTTTTCCATTTTGGATAAACTTTTGCGAATTGACAAGCTCAGCTTGAACTAGTACGTGTTTATTTGACGATAGCTTCACACGTATGGTTGTACACCTCTTTGTTCCGTCATAATGCCCGCCGCCCAAGACGAGGAACAATAAGACGCGTTCCAGAACATGCGCAGATGCGCCAGTTGAACCGCCGCATGCCGCGAGATCCGCTGTAGTGATCCGACTAATGTCAAATATTTTAGATTCATTTTTGATGAACAGGCGTTACCAGTTTTTTTTTTTTAATAATTCCAAGGAACGCGTTTTTTTCTCCTTATAGTTTATATATATATATTCCAACATGTACAATGTAATCACGAGACGTGGTGACGGCACACTCAAGTTTTTTCAACCTATATTAATGCCGCCACCAACACGGGACAATACAATACTCATTTTCACCTGAGCGAAGTGAGGGATGTCGTGTAAAGTGCCTTTCCCAATAGAAGGGCACAAGATCGGTGGCATGTCAGGACTCGAACCCGGGACCTCTTGGTTTCGAGTCGAGCACTCTGCCGCGCCGATGCACGACCCCAGAACAGATTGACCAATCAGACGGCGGCATTGTCCTAAAATTGTCGAGCGAGAGCCATTATATTTTAAACTTCAAATTGGCCAATGAGAGGGCGGCGTTGTTCTAACTTGGCGGCGGTGTCATAGCGCGCTTGGGGGTATGTAAGACAATAGATCGATATTGTCGAAATATTGTTGATATATATACGATGGACGAGCATTACATATCGATATCGTCATCGATACAAAGACACGAAGTAAACACAGATTAGGGTAAAATGCATTTTCTTGGAGTGGGAGTTCACTCTACAGTTTTAAACTGCTGGCGCGTCTTGTCCGTGCAATAGGTTACAGTACTAGTATATCGACGTGACATGAGAGACACCTAGCGGCGTGTCACTATAATAACAGACAGACGACAATTCCCTTTCTTCCGTGAAAAAATTGATTTTCTTGTTATTTAACATATAGTTGGACTAGTTTTTCTGAATTTTTGCTAGAAAGTACACGTAGTAAGACAATCAATCAACAATTTAGTCCTCAAATGTTTGTTTGGACTTGAAAAGATGAAATTTGTGCCTCGGAAGCATATATGCACCTGTTACAGCACAAGACGAGATATATCACGTAAATACTAGCAAAAAGACGAAAGTGTATAAAAATATGGAACGCTTCACGAATTTGCGTGTCATCCTTTGCGCGACAGAGAAGATTGCGCCCCATCCTTTGCGCAGGGGCCATGCTAATCTTCTCTGTATCGTTCCAATTTTAGTATATGTGTTGCCGAAGCGAACACGACTGTACGGGGAGTCCCTCCTGTATATATAGGACACTAATTATTGTCGACAAGAGATGGAGGAGTAGTGTCACCAACTGTCGAGCGTATCCTGGACCTGACTGTGGATCAGACCACAACATGGTGGTGGCAAGTCTTAAGCTCAAGATTAAGAGGTGTGGGAGGAAGAAGCGGAGAGCCCACCTAAATCTGGATGCACTAGACTCACCAACAGTTCAGGAAGCCTATAACATTGAGGTGTGCAACAGATTCGAGGCCCTCAACCTGCTCCAGGAAGAAAGAACACCGGAGGAGTTCTCTGAGTCCTTCGCGGAGGCCATTAAAGCTGCAGCAGAGAAGGTGCTGGGAAAAGCGCCTAGAAAGGCAAACCACCCATGGATCTCGCAGGAGACACTTGACCTGATAGACAGAAGGCGAGAGCTGAAAGCACGCCGTACCACTGAAAGTGGGGAGCTGCTCTACAGAGAAGTGAACAAGCGAGTCCAAAGGGAGGCAAGAAAGGACAAAGCAAGGTGGCTGGAAGAGCAGTGTGCGGAGATGGAGCGAGGACTCGGAGGTAACAGCTCACTCAGGAAGTCGTACAGCATCATCAAGAAGTTGAGGAGGGGGTTCCAACCCAAGCAGAGGAACATCAGGAGTGAGGACAACCGAGTGCTCACTGATCTCAAAGCATCCTACAGCGCTGGAAGCAGTACTGCGAACAGCTGTACAGCGACAACGCATCGCACTCCGACAGTGACGACGAACAGGACACATCCAGTGAGAAGTCAGGAGACGAGTCCTTCCCAGAAATTTTGGAAACAGAAGTGGAACACGCAATCAAGCGTCTCCCAAAAAACAAGGCTGCTGGTGTAGACGACCTACCCGGTGAACTTCTGAAGACCGACAACCCAGCAGTAATAACAGCCCTGTGCTGCCTCTGCAACAGGATTCTGCAGACTGGTGACTGGCCCACAGACTGGGTACGGTCAGTGTTCATCACCATCCCCAAGAAACCAGGAACTACTGACTGTTCAGAGTATCGCACCATCGCCCTGATCTCCCACACCAGCAAGATTCTTCTGCGTATTCTTCTGAACCGCATGGAAAAGGTGGCAGACCAGGAATTCGCTGAAGAACAGATGGGGTTCAGGAAGAAAGTGGGAACCAGGGATCAAGTATTCAACATCAGGATCCTAATGGAGAAAGCCCGGGAGAGTAATGTAAAACTTTTTATGGCATTTATTGACTATAAAAAGGCTTTCGATTCTGTAAGGCACAGAACCCTGTGGAAGATCTTGAAGGATATGGGTGTGTCCAGGTACCTAGTCAACTCGCTACAGCAGTTGTACAGACGACAACAGGCAGCGGTCAGAGTGGAGGATGAGTTAACTGACTGGTTCCAAGTCACGAAAGGAGTGCGTCAGGGTTGTCTGGTCTCACCGATCTGCTTCAACTTCTACTCGGAAGCAGTGATGAGAGAGTCTGCTGGTGAACTCTCATGGATTGGTGTGAACATCAGTGGGAGGACTGTCAACAATCTACGGTTTGCTGATGACATCGCCCTGATTGCAACATCACCTGAGAGACTTCAGGAGCTGCTGGACCTAGTCAACACTGTGTCTCTACAGTACAGGCTGGAGATCAGCACCAAGAAGACCAAGGTCATGGCAGCAACTAAGCAACCCACAGTACTGAGTATCTTCTGTCAGGGGGTCCAGCTGGAGCAGGTGTCAACTTTCAAGTACCTGGGTGCCATCATTGACGAAACAGCTGGAAGCAGCCGGGAGGTCAGTGCGCGCCTGGGAGCCGCGAGGACAGCCCTTAGCTCCCTGGACGTCATCTGGAAGGACAGAGTCCTAAAGATGTCCACCAAGATGAGGGTGTTGAGAGCGCTGGTGTGGCCCGTGGTGACTTACGGCTGCGAAGCATGGACACTCCATGCGAAAGACACACAGAAGATCGAGGCCTTCGAGATGAAGTGTTACAGAAAGCTGCTCAGAGTTAGCTGGACAGAACATCGTACAAACGCCTCAGTCCTGGAAGAGTTAGGGATCGGAAGATCACTCCTACACATGATTAGAAGGAGGAAACTACAGTACTTCGGTCATGTGTCGAGAGCACAGAACATCTCAACTCACATCCTGCAAGGACGGATCTGTGGTAGCAGGAGCAGAGGGAGGCCGCGAAGGAGATGGGTAGACGACATCAGAGATTGGACAGGCAGGCCCCTGGCTGACTGCACACAGATGGCCAAGGACAGGGATGGATGGAGGAAGCTTGTGCTGAATGCTACCACAGTCCCCGACCCTCCAGAAGAGGAAGGGACAAGGTGAAGGTGAAGGTGAATTATTGTCTGATTCAGCTGGTGGTAGACTTCCTACATAGTACAGGAGCCAATATCTAAAAGAGGCCTAGAAATGTGATTTCGTGGCACCCACTTTACAGAAAAGGTTTGACCTTATTTTGTGGTAGAGGGGCCTCTGCCACATCACCCAGTATGATTTTTATGCTGAAATTGTGGTATCACTTTTTTTCTACGGGCCCGTAAAGGTGTAACACTTGAATAGAACGAGCGAAAAAAGGCACATTTTCAAGGGGGAGGGGCAGAAAATTAAATATCAACATTTTTTGATGAAAATTGATAGGCTGATACAACTTTTGATGGGATAACAAAAATGTAAATTTTTTCTCCAAATTCTACTTTTTTCAAGCTCGGTTGGGTTAAGGCAGCCTATGGGATATATGAGTAGTATTTCATACATATGCCTGTAACTTTTGATAGCTTGGTCGCACTACAACTAAACTTCACACAGTTCTAGTAGTACTTGAAACACATTGAATGAAGGTTATTTTGTTTTTACTACTTCTGGATTTTTGGGTTAAAAATCAACAATTTGGTTTAAAAAAAGCTGTTTACTTCATGGCTTTACGCGCAAGCGGTAACAACACCTTTCATCATGATATTTTACAGGTAGAAAGCCAACCCCCTATTTATTAGTTTTGTCCGAGGCTATTTTGTTTTAAATGACAGTTACGTTGTTTTTTTGGGCCAAAAACGACAGAAACAGCTATTTTTCTGTCATTTTTCGTTAAAAAATCGCCACAGTTAAAAAAGATCGACTTATATGCAAAATAGCCTCGGAAAATTTTGATAAAAAAGTGATAATACGTAAACATGGATTACTCAAAAGATCAATTATGCTGTTTTCAGCTGCGCGTAAAGCCGTTTAAGTCATACTCCGTGAATAAAATGCGTAACAACACGGGTTTACAGGGGAAACATACAAATGACAGCCGGTAACCCCGAATTCGAACACGTGTTCTATTCGAATGATGTCATATCGAACATGGTGGAACATGATTCGGGTTCGAAACAAGTCTGTGGCCATCATGCAGACACACGCCCGAACTCGAACATGAATATCAGCCTAGGCCGCCTTAACCCAACCGAGAGTTTTATGGCGCTTTAAAATTCGATTTTTTAAGCAATTTTGGTACAAAAAACGTAGTGTTTACTTTCCGAAATTAGGCAATTATTCGTGTTACCTATGGGGCCTTGTCTGATGCTTTATTTTTATTAACCTTGACATTCGCATCATTTTGATGTTTAAATCATCGAAATCCGTCAATTCTAACAGGAGATATGAGTGTTTGAAGAACCACGCACAGTCTGGCTATTTCCGGCAAAAGCGTTGCTAGGGCCGTTGCTAGGGACGGCCTCGGAGGCACTACCCTTTAAAATTAGTTATCCTAGTCCAACTTCCGGACTAGATTTTGATCTTTTTGTGCTTACATTGAATTACTGTATATAGTATGCAATAAATCATGAAGCTATAGATCGTGAAATGTTTGCTTTAATTTGTTATAAAGCATTACACATCGTCTATATGAAATGTATATCGGAAATATAATGTATTCGTAAAACCGTTGCTACCTTCGTTGCTAAGTTGGACGTAATGCGTACTTCTGACACATCCTACATTTCTCCTGACTACTTTACTCCTGAAATTGTTTTCTTTACAAAAGTATGTGCTGGAACAGTTTTATAAGTTGCCAGATTTGAAGGACAACGTGTACAGAGTTACCCCGATCAAGAGTTTGAATCCACGGTGCAAGCTTAAGCCTTTCCGTAGTCCGGTGGCGCTCTGCCTATCCAGAATCCACGGTGCAGTTCAAAGCGGCGGTATGGGACTTCCTCGATATTCAATATGAACAGACAACAATATTCCAACACAGTGCGACGTTGTATCATCCTGGTTAACAGTCATGTAATTTGTAATGATTTTTCAGAACTTTATCGGCAACTATCGTAGGAGTAAAGCCGGCAGTAAGCGGAGCCTCCCCACAGACGACATGGGGGCTGAGAACATCACGGGACATCGTGAAGACTTAGGGATGTCGGCACAAACGGGTAAGGTGTAACACACAACTATTTTTCGGGTGGGAGGAGCCAGATCCACGGGGGCTTCGCTTTCGTGCCAGGGATGTGCTCTCGCGAGAATAGAATCACGGAATATATATGGCGACTGTATCTGGAATGAGGTCTATTAGTTGTTCATTAGCACATGATTTAGCCTGACTAACCTCGCTCATGGCGGCCGCCCACCCGCCTCCGAAAATTTCCGCCCCCAAGGGGTAGGGGTCATTAGCCATTTTGTAACAGAATGTGAACTGTATAGCAAAGAGAGAAATGAACTGTATATGTTTATATCATACCCGGGCCGCGATAACGTTCGATAACCGGAACCCGTTATCGAACGCTTCCATGGCGTCCATAAAACGATTCGAACGCGTTTCGCCCTAACCGCGTGTGCCCCTTTCGAAAATTCGAATACAGAATCTGGACGTTGGAATTGATGTTGTTGCATTTTAGGGTTCAGTGGCACCAACTTTTGGCTCATCTTGCATTGAAAGGCGTGTTTTCTTGCGTGGGTATGACATAAATAAAATACAACACGGTGTATTCCGCATCGCCCTCGGTCCCGGCCCTCCCGCGAGTCGGATCGCCCTCCGGCCTGCGGGCGATCCGACCCGCGGTCGGGCCGATACCTCGGGCGATACGGAATACCGCGTGTTGTATTCTATATGTACAACACCTATTCCCCTATTTCACGCACTTAAGTACTGTAGAAAAAATCATATTCCTTATGCGACTAGACAAACCACCCATCGAAAAACAGATCTGTACATTTATCTCTACAATAACCAAAAAGCGAGAGGTTGAATTTATATCACGATAGTTAGTTAATTTTGTATCTGTTAACCGTGTCCATTCATCTTGTTTTGTTGTGATCTGTACTTAGCCAAGTGTGGCAGAAATGTTCAATAAAGGTCTTCATTCATTCAATATAACGAGAGAGCTTGTGCAAACACACGCTAGCACACGATCAATGATTGAATCCTAACCACTGCACAGTGTTGTTGCTCAGTCTAAAATATATAACTTCCAAAACATATAATAATACCCGAGAGGAAGTCGAAAGTACTTGTTAATATTTACACCTACTACAGAGTTTCTTAACATGTGACCTGTGCATAGCCCAATGGGGCAAACATGTACAATAAAGGTCTTCATTCATTATCATCTTTAAAAAGTAGCAATCATTATGGTTGAATTTGGTATAGTCATGTATTGTAAAAGCATTGTGCTAAATTACTTGGGGAAGATATATACGATATATAAGTATAAGAAACATCTAAGATATACACGACACATAAGGTTAAAAATCATCTTAGATATACACGCTATATTATGTAAGGTTAAACTAATCATCTAAGATATACCCGTCCCACACTAACCACAGTCAGTATACCGGCAAATCGTCCTGAGGTCATTCACCCCGGTACTACGGAGTGCGTCATCGCGTGCGCTATGAATCATGGGAACAAAACCGTCAACAACCCTTCTCACCTGCGGACGTAACGGACCTGCTCTGTCTTTAAGACGCCGTGAGAGCTCACCTGTACGTCTTGTGACGTCAGAACTAACAGGCTTCAGTTCCTGGAGCGTCCGAGAACCTTACACAGGTATTAAAGACCGGGAAAAGGTTACCAATCTCTCACAAGACACACCTGGAAAATTTCAGGTAAACCCGGAAGTAACGGGTGCATCATACGTAGTACAAAACCTAAAGAAACTTTTACCACAGCCCTTTAGCACACAGATAAATTGTTGATGTTGAATGAATTAGAAAGTATTGACGCTATGTCTGTATGGCTTTTAAATTATCGCTCCTTTGTTGGTACAGTTTGATCTACAGTGTTCGGAAACGCTTAATAATTTGTAAATCAGGTATGTCGTGAGTGAACTGTACATGATGCAATGTCTGTCCCACTACCATAATATTGTTTAGGGAGAGAAATGATATATCTGTGGGTCTGTGTTTGCACTACAGGAACGCATTAGATCTATCTAGTCTTAGTTACGACAGGTGTCACTAGGCAGGTGGTGTGTATCTATCTGTAGGGTCAGACCAGGGATGGACGGAAGAGAACAGGAGAACATGGAGGAAGACAAGGAGTCCGGGTCAGAGAAATCCGGGTCTGAAGAGTCGAGTTGGAAGAAAAAGGAGGAAGACGAGAAGGTAGAGTATAGAAATCATTATAAAAAGAGTAGTGATGTCACATACAGACAAGCCACACAGTGCATATGGTGGTGTATACGAGTATCTATAGCAGGCCTTTTTCTCTAGCCTGATGTAGATCGGTCCGCCCGTAGGGTGGTCTCCTTGCGACAGGACAGCTCGGTAGTCTGTTTTTTACATTTATCTGTAACGTTACATACTACTCCTATGTTTCTTTTCACATGTGTTGTTTGTACCATGTTATGTGTCTGTATACTATGGGCCGTTCAGTCTGAAATAAACAATAAACATATGTGAGCTATGCAGAAATAGAGGAGGTTAATGATATATATTTTTAAAACTTTACACTGAGAGACATGAAAGGAAGTGAAATATCAGTATGACGGATAAATGAACGGATAGGTGTTGAATCTTCTCACATGCTGAGTGTTGTTTTGATTGACTGAGTGTTGACAGTTGTTTTTTTCTGTTCCTGTTTGCCGCCGCTATAGGCGCTGTGGAAGGCTGCAGATGAAGGAGACACGGACAGAGTGAAGCAGCTGTTAGCGGAGGGAGTCAACCCTAATGCTGCTGATATTTGGGTTTGTTGCCATGTCTTACGTTATTTTGAGTATATATGGTGATGAAACATTTAAGGATGTGCAATGAAAATCAAGAGGTGGGAGGGGCAAAAATATATAAGGCACTTATAAAAGACACAGATAGGAAGGGCAAGACCGCACTGGTCGCTGCACAAAGCAATACTTGGAAATTTCCGCATCTGTACCAGTAGCTTCAGCAAGTCCAACTTTTAAGTTAAAAGTTCTGCTCGTTTACCTCAGCCCGCCTTAATGTGTTTTACAGCAACGGACTGCTCTGCACGTGGCGGCCCAGAAAGATCACCATAAAACTGTATTAGTTTTACTGACAGCTGGTGCAGATGTGAACGCACGGAACAGTGACGTAGGTAGACTGACTATTGTGCTACAAGAAATATTTCTGTACCATTTTGTAAGATGTAACATTCATTTTCTACATAGTGATTTGAGTGCTGATTACCTTTAGAGCTGCCACCAACATTTAAGTCACTTTTGTCCGTCCTGTTGTTATGCTGAATCGAAGACCATCTGATGTGTTTTACAGCAAGAATCTCCCATGCACTGGGCAGCCCTGAATGGTGACCATGAAGCTGTGTCAGCTTTACTGACAGCTGGTGCAGATGTGAACGCACGGGACGGTATTGTAGGTAGACGTACTATTGTGCTACAAGAAATATTTCTGTACCATTTTGTAAGATTTGACATTCATTTTCTATATAGCATTTTCTGTTTAAAATATCACCAACACAAAAATGTCACCAACACCCAACAATATACGAAGTGCATATTTGTATAGCTCTATAGCAGTTTACTTGCTGAATTCCGTTAGAATTGTCAACAAAATATCTGCACATTTGTCCTACCTGTGGTCATGCTGAAGACCATCTGATGTGTTTTACAGCAAAACTCTCCCCTGCATCTGGCAGCCTGGAATGGCCAACATAAAACTGTATCAGTTTTACTGGCAGCTGGTGCAGATGTGAACGCACGGAACTATCAGGTAGGTAGATTGATTGCTGTGAAACAAGAAATATTTCTGTATCATCTTGTAAGATTTGATATTCACCTGCTCATCTTCTTACTTAGCGGTTTATTTCCTGACTACCATATAAACTGTTTCCAACATGAAGCTGGTACGGAATTGGACGCATGGGGCTATACACCATATTATCAACGTTTAGAATACATCTAACTTTTTTTTGTGTCACAAAGCATGCTTTTATTGAATGTCTACTCTTACTCTTGTCCTTCGGAGCCCATATATAGATTGAACATACATTATCATGCATATAGTGCCCTGTATATGTACAATTTGGTGCTATTTTCGTGCAACGCATCACACCGCAGCGAAACGCAACGAATGCTGAAATAACTACGCCATCGCATGGCAAAAAATGTCAGAGGTCTATGACCTGATTAAGACATGAAATTGAAACATATTGTGCAAAAATGTCAGCAGGACAAGATTTACATTGTAGTGATACCGTTATTATCAATTATTAGAAACAATCAGTGTAAAGGTTACAGGACATCGCGAGCAGAACCAACTTCTACAGGCTCTCGTTCTTCCCCCGCACCATCAGGGAATGGAATGAACTTGAGCCTGGTGCGGTGGAGGCGGGGTCTCTCGCTCAGTTCAAATCTGAACTGGCGAGGGCCCTGCTGCATTGAGCCATCCCATCATGTCTTGTATATATGTAAATATTACTAACGCACTAATGCACTTGTCCCGTCTTTAGCACACACAAAATCAGTTGTCTTATGTTCCTTTCTCAATTATCCTTGTTTTCCCTTTGTTTTTTTTTTTTATGTACCGGGTCACAATGTTACTAACAATGCGTAACGGTTGCCAATAAACCTACACTGTAGGGCTGGGCAGTAACGGAGGAGAAGAAGGTAAAGTTATACTATGGTTTCAAGCGAGCTTGGAGTCAGTAAGAGATCTATATATAATTATATATACATTTAAAAGGGGGTGCTATTTGATCATACTAAGGATGAATAATTGCACTGTCAATGCCCCAACAGGAAGACACACCCCTCCATGACGCAGCTACACGGGGCCACCCCAAGTGTGCGGAAATACTGCTACAGCACGGGGCTGATACCGGTCTCAGGAACAAGGTCAGTCGGTTCTTCGGCTTCTTTGGTAAATAGCTGACCACCAATCCAGAAATACAATATTGGCTTTACTTCTTTTGGGAGAAAAATTTAAAATAAACTTTTTTTTTCAATGATGATCCACATACATTATGATGATGATACTACATACATTACTGTCCGAGGCAAGGAGAAGCTGTTGTTGGGATAAACACACAAATCACGATGTGTTCTGATATTCCTGCATTGTACGTATCACATAAGCACCTACAAGCCAATTTCTTTCTAGACAGGGGCTTTTCTGATGTACCTTCTGTATATGTTCTAGATGCTTAATAAATATTATCTTCTCATTCAGTCGCGTTTATTTCCGATATTTCAACATTCATAAGCCTATAATTGACAGCATGTTTATTCCCAGGTTGGTCAAACGGCGGAGGACGTCGCTGCAGATGAGGACACCAGTAACGCTGAACCGGACGACGAAGATGATGAAGAACTAATCACTCGTGGTAGAAAGGAAATACTGAAGCTTCTCCAACAACAGGATAATGTGAGTCGCTTCAAAACTTCCGTGATACAAAATCATAAAGCATTATATCTAAAGAATATGATTGAGATGACTAAATTTCTTGTCAAACACTTCGGTTCAAAAACAACTGCTGATAATATTAAACTACAAGTTGAAGATGATATAATTTTTTTTGTTTCCCTGGTATGCATGCTAGTATTTGAATTTTGGTATTCTGCTTGGCAGGCTGAAGAGATATGCATTATGACTATCAGACTTGCGTAGAACCATTTAGTTACGAGCGCAATTGAAAGACATGTGATCTATCTATAGAGACATGTACATGTATTAATGATACATGTCCAATTTTATCCTACAACAATGACTAGAAGTGTTTAAGAAAGAACAATAGAACCGCCCTTACACCAAACAAAACTCACTTTCACGTGTGCCTGTTTACAGGAAGTCTCCACACGTAAGAAAGGCTACGATCCTGTACTCGTCCGGTTCTATGAAGAAAGCGGAATGACCGTGGCGAAAAAGGATTGTCCGTTGATAGAAGAAGCAGCTAAGCAGAGCGGGAAAACTGTAGACCAAGTGAAGGTGTGTCTTTGTGATGATTCTCTTGAATCAGTTGTACCTTACCACAGGCTAAAACGTTTTGTGATGATAGATGATATAGATGAGGAGCTTTACCTGGTATTGTTGGTGTAACTCGTTATTTTCTGTAGCAATACCCTTATAGAATCGTACTCAGTGCCTCAAATTAATTGTGATTCATCGTTTCGTTGTATCATCCTGGGTAACAGTAATGTTATTACCTTCGCCAAGAAGGTTATGTTTTCAGTAGCGTTTGTCTGACTGTGTGTTTGTTTGTGTGTGGTTTAGCAAGATAACTCGAGACGCAGTGGATGAATTGGAATGAAACTTGATAGGTGGGTAGGTCTTCATGAGAGCTAGAAATGATTAGATTTTGCCCCCCCCCGGCGGCTTTCCTAGGTACTGCAGTAGAACGTCCGGTTTTTATATCTCGTGATCTGGACATGATAGGGTCACAAATTTTAGATGGCAGATAGCTCTTGGGATAGGGAAGAAGTGACATGAGTTTGGGTGCCCTATATATAGTCACTTGTTCTGGAACTACAGGAGCATTTGTTGACAAATTTTCGAAGGAGGATAACTCTAAAACCGGTTTCCGGATTGTCGTGATTTTTGGTAAGTAGGAATATGAATTGATGCTTCACATAATCCGGAGCTAACTTGCATAATCAATGAGGGAATTATATAAATCTGCTTTGTTCGATAATAGAACTATGAAGCACTTGTGAGATCTACTTGAGAACGAGAAAAAAACATCTGAGGATATATATATATATATTATGTAAAAGAGGACCTAATTTGCATAATTAATGACAATTTTTTATAATTTCATAGTTGTAACTGCTGGGAAATTCATACTTGCCACATTTGGAATTGCATGTAAAATAAGGTGAACATCAATAAACATAATTTATTCAAATCATGACCTCATTTGCATAATTTATGAGGTAGTTTTTATAATAGCCTTTTTGTTAAGATAAGGCTGTCATTGGGTGGAGAATAGGATCAACTAATATGATCCATGCAAATGAGGCTCTTATTTACAAAATCGATGAAAATTGTAAAATTCGTCAACCGCAAGGGTTAACATCATTTGGCAAAGGTATGAGGTCGTGGAACTCTTGTTTGCAATGATTTTCAATGATTTTTCAGACCTTCATCGGCAACTATCGTAGGTTTAAGAGCGGCAGTAAGCGGAGCCTCCCCACAGACGACATGGGGGCTGAGAACGTCACGGGACATCGTGAAGACTTAGAGATTTCGGCAAAAAAGGGTAAGGTATAACATATAACTATTTTAGCTGTGAAATACAAATACTTAACTCAGTAGATAATTCTATCTATCTAACTGACGGCATCGAGATTTCACCCAGCGTGAAGACCAAGACTTGGCGGAAGGCAAAAGGTCTGAAAAATATGTTGATATCTGTCACCTGGCACGACATTATTGTTCTTGCTACTCAGACAGCTTGGGCCCATGAGTACGTGTCATGCGATGATGCATGGTCATTTTGGATCTAAAAAAATAGCATATCACAAAACAACAACATGAATACCATGTTTGTTTAAGATGAAATTACCATACGGGTCTCAGCTGTAACAACGAATCATACGAATCATGGCATCTATTGCTTACAGAGGAGACAGACGAATTCAAGGAAACCAAGGCAGGACAACGATGGTTAAACACTTTATGCTAAAAAAAATCAAAAGCATTAAGTTTTATTGATTAATCTAAAATGTATGCACAGAACAAGAGAATCGGCACCTCTATATAGCTTCACGCGTCATCATCTACATATTGCTAAAGTTTTGTCTCTGGAGACACACACAAAGAGACGAAGGGACAGTGATATCTCACTGATTTGCACGTGTTCATATAAAACTCACAAGCACAAAACATGACAAGGAAACGGACGCAGCAGAAGAAACCACCGAAGGACGAGACGCCGACGCAAAGTCAACACTAAAACTGGAGGAAGAAAAGATGTTTTCACAAGTTAGAAATGCACATTATAGAAGAAAAGGGAATCATATGGATAACATTACATGACCTATATTTCTTAACAATCTTATATTAATTACAGGTGGAAAGAGGAAAGCCAAAACGCGGCATGTTGGCGAGTCCAGCGACAGTGGCGCCCGGGGAAAGCGACCTAAGATAGTTATGGATAAAGTCATACATAATGTAAAAATAAACATGTGCAGAGAATGTTTTGTCCGGAAATATTATTTTTTCAAGAATTATTCATTCAATAATTGCATTCATACGATTGGGTAACCCAACTAGGTTTTCAGCTAATGAGAGAAACCTTTGAAGCAATAGTGATCTTTGATCAACAGTACATTCAAGGAAGTATCGTTTCATGGCGCCTGCATTTTACCCGTCATAACTCGACATTGCATCCATTGTTTTTGAATTGCAGAGGCCATGTCTGTTCTGATGGTCAACGATACGTACGGCACGTCCCATGGAGGTACTTCTACCACGAATCGTCAGGTGACGCAGTTTCTGAAACTTCATGGTGCTACAGTTCATGCTACAGCTTTGCAAGCATCTGAAGAAGACAAGCGGTGTGCCACAGACGATGGTGTCATTTTGCATTTGCCTGTTCAAAATCCCAGGGACGAGAGGAAGCCAACTTTGGAATGGATAACCTTTGACCACAACAATCGCTACCCAGACATACCACAGGATCTAAAGTGCATTGTGGGTCATGTAGATGTCACAAGTGGAGCCGCAAAGAGCATACAAGAGAGCCGCTGTCAAAACGCGAAATTGGTCCTTTTCCACCACGACATGCCAGAAGAGACGGAATACTACAAGGGATCTAAGAAATCGTTGGCCGCGAGGAAGAAGATGAAAGACATCCTCGAAGATGCAAAGAATGCAGATGCCGTGTTCTCCTTGGGAAGAAGAATTTACGACTACTTCGAGACGAAGTACATGGCGCTTAAAGACAGCAAACCACGTCAGCACTTCTTATTTCTCCCAAGACCATCCCCAGTGTTTGAAGCCATCTCTGTTAGACCAGGAGCAGGGGAGAAAGTCGTGCTGACTGTCGGGAGAGTGACTGATGAAGTGGACAAGCTGAAGGGTCATGACCTTGTAGCACGAGCCTTGGGGGAGGTTGCAGAGAAGATTAGAAACGTCAGATTATGTGCTCGCGGGATAGATGAAGATGACTATGAAGCAAGCAAGAGAATCCTGGAGGAGAACCTGCACAGTGGTAAGATCAAACCCACCCTGCTGCCATGTGGAACCCAGGAGGAAATCGCTCAGGACATGCAGCAGGCTCATCTGGTCCTGATGCCGTCCCGTGCCGAGCCTTTTGGACTGATCGGTCTGGAGGCCATCGCAGCAGGCATCCCTGTACTCATCTCTGACAAGTCAGGCCTAGCAGACATGATCATGGACTTGGTCAAGGAGAGGAAGTTACCTGCAGACATGAGGCACAAGATCGTGAAAACCAGCGTGAGGGAGTCCGACCTGGCTGAGGATGCAAGAAAATGGGCAGAGAGAATCGCAGACACCTTGGAATTCTCTGAGTCAGAATTCGACAAAGCAGCAGAGTACAAGAAGAAGTTGTTGGAGTCCAAGTACTGGGAAGAGTCTCACCAAAACCTGCTGAGGGTCTGTGGATTGAATGACTGACTCTAGACGCGTCCACTCTCCCACGTGTCAGATTCACTAATTGCTGAATTTGATCAACAGACTTTTAAATGCAATCAGTACGGTTCAAAAGCAAAGTAGTGACTGGCAGTGGCATCATCTATTAGCTGCCATGTACAATTTCAAAGATGTACTAATTTACAATGGCACTGGCTATTGCCTCTATACAGGCCTTATCTATCATGTACGCTGCAATTATTTAGGACGACGTAGCTAGGTGGTCGTGGATTACTTTTGTACATGTAGTATGATATCAATAGGAACTTGAAATAACCAAAAAGGCGTAATTTTCAATCTCGTGTAAATTCAATTTTGTATATAAACCTGTGTCAAATGGAGAGTCATTTAATATACATATAAGCATGGCATGCAAGCTATTATTATTATGATAGGCATATTTACAGTACTTTGAAGGAAATTTAGAAGATGGGAAAGAATCTATTGTACACGCTTTAAGTGTGGGAACATCAGTAAGTTTATACTCTGTTATAACTTGAATATTGTTTATTACTTACAAGTACTGTTTTGTATCCTTGATATTGTGATTAAGTTAAGCATTTGTTAGATGTAGATGTAATAGAGTGCGCATGTGTTCTTCTGTTTGCCTGCTGGTATTTTGAAAATTAAAGGGGTACCTTTAGCTTTACCTGTTGGTGTAAAATTTGTTTCAGTCATGGAAGTCATTTCTAATATAATTTGCATAGGTGTAGTTTGTAAATGAGTTATAACTTCAGCAGAACTTTGTTGTAAATTCAGCCATAGATAATTAGTGTCCCAAGCATTCCCAATGTAATTTTTACGGCTTTCTGTCGTTTTTCAAGCTTAAGAAAATAATGGTTTTACAATTAATATTGGATATGTCCTTATTTTCCTTCTATATATTCTTAGCTCCACACCAGTAAGGTATCGACTATATATTGCAGAGAACTTTTCTTCATCAATAGCTTCCCTGTCTTTTACTTATTCAAATTCACAATAATGTCACTTTGTAAAGAAAACAAAAACACTACCTTATATTGGAACTCTTGCACAACGAAAATAGTTCATCATGTAGATGTTAAAAAAGAAAAGTGCAACCTGCCTGGCAAAATATGGTCAATGTTTTTGACTTGATGACAAACAGGATGTACTCGGATGAAGCGTTCCCATGAAGCCCTTCTCGCGTATCATATTTGACTGAGTATAGAAAAAAATATATACCTGGTCCGTGAGACGCCAGATATTATTACAATACATGTAATGTAAAGTAACAGCAAAACAGTCTGTTGTACTTACACACAGTACGGACGACAAATGCACGGTTCTGGATTGTCCATATCTAGAAACGTGCCTTAGGCAAATCAATGTTCTTGAAAGCACGTTGAATATATAGTATGAAGCATTTTTCATGTGATCGGCCAAACATCTCCACCGAGTTATCGCTAGTTGTTACTTGAGTTGAACAGGTGAGGACCAGACACCTTTAGCATGTGAACAATCAACGAGAAAATGTCAGATCTGTATCTCGGCAAGACAGAAAATAGTTTCTGGTTCGGTCATCCAAGATGGAGGCACTTCGTTTTGTCGGTTTCGTTTTCTATAGACGACTTCTAACATGTCATCGATATATATTCAGTTACACACAAAACAACTCCTGTTGCATCTTCAATGTCACGGGAAACACAATTTCAGCACATAAACATTAAGATTTGCGTACACCGCTTAAAACACACACACTTATACACACACGGTACCGGCTCACCTTCCTGCGCGGGATACACCGCCCAAACCGCCGCCAGCACAGCCAGCCAGGCCCCGGTACACCCGCACACAGACCCCGTTATCCTCTTCATCCCACACGGGCCCACTCAAGCCGCTCCCTCGGCCTCCGAACGCACCCGGCCCCGCCAACTGCACACAGTGCCTAGCATGACTACACTGTAGAAAGGAAAAACCGATCTCCTGACGTCACTTGGATTAGTCCATTGTTGTACAGGGGGTTATTAGGCCTTGAGTGTCTTCGGTAGAGTAAGTGGCAGAATCCTAGAGCTGTAGCTGGATGTACCGGGAAACGCGGACGAGCACTTTAAAGGAAAAAAAAAACTGCTTCCTAAATATTTTGAGTTCAACTTGGTAACTGGTTATTCACGTAAAGTTAGATAAGCTAGACTGAGATTATGAGACAGAAAGCGCACGTAAAGAAATAATATGAAGCTTTAGTTTCTGGCTCACATGATCATTATATAGAATCAGTGCCCACCCCTTGGAAATCGAAAAAGGGCGATATATGAAACTACCTGTGTCGGAGAGAATTTGTAAATATTGCTCCTCAAATGCAGTGGAAGACGAAATTCATTTCATCTTTAACTGTCCATTTTATGACGACATCAAAAAACAATTATTTACCACCGTGTCCAAAATGCTCCCTTACTTCCCAACCATTCCCTACCACAAAAAAAAAAACAACAAACAATTTTACCACCAAAATCAAAGAACCCACATATTATAGAAGAAGTGAGTAAATATTCGTCTTCCATTGCCTAAAAATAAGAAGTCAAACCCAGTAAATCTAGTACCATGTATGTTGTAGAATATAGTATAATGTTAGACGTAGATATAGTCTCACATACCACTGTATTTTCTTTCTTATGTTGTTTGTAACTGCAATTAGCCCTCGGGCACGTATTTGCAATAAACTTTCATTATATACAAACAAACGCAAAGCCAAACGTCTGGGGATGTTCTATCCTTTAACTGAGCCAGCTGAAAAATTATTTTGATGTTCAGTGTTAGTAAATACAAACTGCGTCACACCACCGATCTAACGGTCGGCAGTGATCAAAGTTCAACACCCGACCAGCCGCCATATTGACTAGTCTGGTACTTCACTCGTCAGCAGACCAGTGGTAACTGAGACAACTGAGCCTGTTTTATATAACCAGGCTTGTTTCTTGCACCATCTAAAGGTACGAGTCTTCAGATTACTTCACTCAGGTGAGTTTTCCAACACGCTCCACGTCTGTTAGAGTTTACACCGCAGGTAAGGAATGTTGTATACGTGGCACAACCAGGCCGCCATTTTCTTGTCAAATGACAGAGACCACTTTACTTTTCAGAAATGTCTGCAACTTAACGGTGGGATTACTAGAGATAGTCTGTTTGATGACAAGTGAAACATTGATTTTTGAAAGTAATTTCGTTGATTAGGAAAGTAACAAAGTTACAAACCGATGTTTTACTAGTACTGGTTATCGTTACAAAAAATGGAGGGAGTTTACGACTTCTTATTAAAGTACATATTCGGTACAGAGTATACAGAGCAGTTGAAAAGTTTGAACTGCATAGACGACAATCATTCCATAGTTTTTATACTACATTGTGTTTGGAAAAATGGTAAAAATGCTTAGATTCGCCATCTCATCACTGACCACCATGGACAGATTATTTGTAGCAGGCACCTCACAGTGTAATGACCTAAGGTCACACCGCCCCCTCGGCACGTCCGCGTGACGTGTTAATCATTGTTGGTTTGTACAAACGAATCGAGGTTGGTAAACTCAAGGTGCACTCTGACCCACGTCAAAACAAGAGCAAATATTATAAGGTTTAGCCCTTCTTGTCAACATTAGCAAGGTATGGAGTGCAAGGTATAAAGACAGACATTTGAGTATTAGAGCATATTTCTCTACCACCACAGATTGTTATTGTTGAGTGAATTAGGAAGTATTGACGCTATGTGTTGACGGCTATGATGGTGACTAAATTGATATTTTCGCTCCTTTGTTGGCACAGTTTGATCTACAGTATTTAGAAACGCTTTAGATGCTATGATTGTAAATAAGGCGTGTACTGGCGAAACTGCCGCGCGATCTTATTATTCGGTGTACAGTCAAACCTGTCCAAGCCGGCCACCAAAGCCAGGCGACCAAAGAAAATATTGGCCACAATGGGCAGGTGGTCTCCTTGAAGAGGGTCGCTTCACAACACGACTGAGGCATAAATGGTTTGCAAGCCTAGATGATATAATCTCAAATGCTGTAAATGCATTTGGGGAGATTGGCACATGGAACGATTTACATCGAACAAAAATATCATCCAGTAATCAAGGCAAACTGGCTGGTTTCTCCATGAGTTTTCATTAGTTATCATCAATAATCAACATGAACGAAAATGATGCGGTCACCATGGGCAGGTATCAGGCCTTGAGCGGACCCAATTCAGGGTGTTCGCGGTCGCGTTGGCCAGATGGTCACCTTGGACAGGTTGCTTAAAGGGCAGAAGCCACCTCAAAAAGTACCTGAAATAGGCATAGATATCAAAAATATACATATAGTACAGTAAGTTAAAAGTGTTTGTAGTCACTTTTACCGAGAAATAAAGATTATACAGCTTCTCAAAGTGTCGTTTTTGGAAAGCCGCGACCCCGGCGTAGTAGCCCCATTCCAGAAGCCGTCACGTGATGCCGTGACGTAACACAAGGGACGCACCCGCTATCTGCCAATTGTCTGTTTGTTTTAACAATGGCAACACCGACCATGGACGCTGACGAAGTTGAGACTTTTTCTGACTGCTCGTCTACCGTAGAATGTATCTGTGAGGAATTTGAGTCGGACTCAGATTCGGAGGAGGTCGTAGGAGTTCTCATGCCCTACAGATTTGAGCCATATCTCTCTGACGTGCAGTCAGACGAGCCGAATTCTGACAGCGACGATGAAGGTGACGGCCGCTGGTGACGCCATGGCTGATGGCGGGGAACTTGAAATCGACGGCAAATTCCGCTCGATAGCGAAACCCGACTGCAGAACATGGACTGGTAAGTGAGGCTTAGATAATTTTGCTGTTAGGTTTCTGTGATAGGATATAGATTACTCGCTATGGTGAGACGTACTTGTAGTATAAAATATACGATTTTGTGACCTTGGGTTCGCCCCGCGGCCTGTGTTGTTTTTCTAACCTCGCGGTACCGTACCTTCTTTCTGCGGATTAGCGTCATTACTTCTGGTCTTTGTCGTCCCCGGAGGCAGCCATTTCTTTAATCTGTGTTTTTTTCGTTACCTCCATGAAAGAATAAGAAAGTAGAGCGGAAATTGTCTTGAAAGATCGCCAAAACAAGTGGAACATGGCGATACGTGTGGATGATTAGTGCGACCCCTGACCTTCAGAAGTCACCGCCAGCGTTTGTTTAGACAAACGCTGTGCTCACAACTAATTCTTATCACATTTTTACAAATCGTATGACAATTTTTAATTCCTTATTGGGGTTTTGGTCTTCTAGGTGTACTTGTGGGAACTGCGTTGACCACCGAAAGGTGAAGGAGAATGTGTGCTGCCGGGAGCAGATGCGTGTTTGTGAGCGAAGGGAGAAGGAGCCCGGCATTGACTGCATTACCCAACACCACGGATCTCCCCAAGTCTGCCTAGCCGTGGACGTACTAGAAACAGCATACTTTGCTTATCGGGATCATTACGGGGTGACCTTTGGAAACGAGTGAGTATGAAAATAATACACAAAAAATACTAATCATGATAACTTGATAAGGTTAGCCTTGCCAAAAATTATAACAATAAGCTAGATGGGCAATCCTAGATTTCATGTGTTACATGTATCATTGTATGTTTCAGCCAAACCAACTAAAAAAAGATTTCTGCAATTGTAACATGATAGTTATCTATTATGATCACTTGTATTGCTTGTGGACTAGATTTGAAAGAAAGGGTAAATTTATCTAAGTACCATAATACCAATACATAATCTTTTTCAGCTGGAAGCGGTACACTGCGTACCGACAGTTTGTGCGCTGGTGCTACGAGTTCCTTGGAAAGAAGAACCGGGTTACTCTGCCCTCTTGCACTGTGGCTGCTATAAGAAACCACTTCCCGTCTCCAGACTACACAGGCTTCCGGGAAGCTGACGACTAGAGATGTCTTCTGCTGAACTTGTGCTAAGCCTACCTACTTTACCTTTGATAGTGTAGTTGGTAGAAACTTTATTTCTCTAGCTAAGAACTTCGTAATATGTAAAAACTACAATCGACAATGATATGTGTCAGAAAGTCCCCTGTTGGGACTAATAAATGTTGCACTGTGTTACGTATGACAACCAATGGAATCAACTACATTTTGTAAGAGGTAGATAGTATCCCTTCTTGGGATTAGCAACAATATCAGTCAACTTTACTTCTCAAACTCAGAACTTTGTACAATCAACTATACTATGTGGCAGAAAGTGTCCCCTGTTGGGACTAATAAATGTTGCACTGTGTTACGTATGGCAACCCATGGAATCAACTACATTTTGTAAGAGGTAGATAGTATCCCTTCTTGGGATTAGCAACAATATCAGTCAACTTTACTTCTCAAACTTACATTGTACAATCAACTATACTGTGTGGCAGAAAGTGTCCCCTGTTGCTACAGTCAGGATTCTCTAGCGGTTAAACCTGCCGACCTTCTCCCTGACTGCTGTCTGCTTGTCCGGCTTCTCAAAGTCAGCATTGAGGGGCGGGGGCACAGGTGCAGCAGCTAGCTCCAGGTCTTCCAGGATGTCGCCCTCATAGTTGATCCCGGAGCACATCGCCTCCACACGGTCCATCAACTGCATGGCATAACCTGTTATGCAAATAGAACCAGAAATGAGCTGGTCTCTCACAACAGCATCAATAATATTAGTTGGTAAAAATATCAGAACATACATGTCAATTGACCTGAGACTGGGCGATTGTTGTGACAAGAGAAAATACCTAGTGAGAGGAGAATGTTACTACATGCAGGCAGCCTTCTACACAGAGGGTTTCTCAAGGTATTTGATGAGCCAAATAAGAGGCAAAGCTAGGTGCAGTAGAAGTAAACATACCGAAAGTTGACTTCTTCAAAACCTTTCGTACGATGTAACCGCCTTTCTTGTACTTCGGGTAGTGAAGGGTGTACATGTCCTCACCATCCCGTCTCTTGCTCTGTGCCCTGTTGGCATTTTCGTTAAAATGCATGGCGGCGAGGATTGTCCTGAAAGAAAAAGGGAGCACATACAGGGTGATTACTCCTAAACAAAAAGCAAACAGGGAATTACGCTATAACAATAATTCTAAAGGTGGCACAAAAGACCCCAGTTTGACATGGGCATACACGGGATGCATAGTCCCAACAATATAAGACATGATTACCTGCACTGCATTCCCTGGTACGAAAAGTGGAACATCTTTGGGGCGAAGTGGAGGGTGAGGGCGTGAAACGCCTCCAGATAGGATGTCTGGTAGTCAGGAGAAAGGCGATGTAGGTCCTTGCAGAGATGCCGGCTGGTGATGATCTTCTCCATCTCGCTAGACAGCTTTGTATCTGAAGAACGGGTATAACAAAAATTGGTGTTCAATATAATCAAATAAATACGGCCTTACAGTCTCAACAATATAATCATGATTTATTCTTGTATATCTACCCCTACCTTAGCAAGTGACAAGCATAGGAACTTAGCCAGATCTGGTGCCCTGCATTTTCCATAATTCTTCTTCTTCTCCTAATGCCAAGCATTTTATTTTCATTCCAAAATTCTCGACACAACATGGGAAGAAAATCATGCATGTAAAAAAAATCACTTTCCCAGGAAGCAGTGTCTAGCAAATCAGTAAATGAGTTCAAGAACCATATTGCACACGAGTGGAAGAATCACCAGGATATGTACAACTACACCTTTACGTACTGAACACATGAGAAGAATTGCTACCGCCGAAACTACCCGAAGTGCGGTCTCATTACCCACACAGGGTACCTATTGACCGGCTACAGGTGAGAAATACAGGTGAGAAATTATGTTGTCGACTGCCACGGCATAGCTAAGCAAAAACGCACGAACTTCATCTTTGCATTTCCGCGCCCCCTCCCCACATACATGTATACACATGTCCCAGCCGCCATTTATCATATTTATGAACATTTTTCCCGACTTACCTGCTCCGAAATTTGACTACTTTATAGTGTCTTTCGTAGAAGACGTCAGTGTTTGAGTAACTAACATTATTTGTCGTGAAACATTTTGTTTTGAAAGAGTAGAGTCCCCGTGTTAGCAGCCTAGCGAAACATTCCATGCGGGAAATAAATGAATGTTCGCTACTGACAAATTATCCCACTCAGACGACAATTTATCGTACAGAAATGACACCATAAACGCATTTGAATTCTACAACAACGACTCTAGTGCTCATAACATAAAAATCCTAAAAACCCACCTCAATTCTGCGCCTTTTCTCAACTGCACCAGATTTCCTGCGCTTTTTAGGCTGCGCCGTGCTCGCCTCTGACCTCTGTGCC